AAAATAATAATAACAAGAACGACAACAACACTTACTTCGAAGAAGTGTGCTTGCTCACGGAATTTGCAAGGTTGCAACTCTTTTTTTAAAAAAACTTTCTAAAAATTTGTTAATTGAATTTATTGGGGTGACATTGGCTAATAAAATTATACAGGTTTCAGGTGTACATCTCTGTAACACATCATCTGTATGTTGTACTGCGTGTTCACCAGCCCAGGTCAAGTCTCCTTCCATGACTGTTTATCCCCCTGATTGTCATGAACTGATGGGAAACGCCCAACTATCAAAGATCACGAAAGGACAATGCAAATAGAAGAAATTCAAATCAACACAAAAAAATATTCTAGCAGCAGTAACAATCCAAGCAGTACAAGACAGTAATGCTAACAATGTGATCCTACTCACCATTTTGGTTAAAAAAATAGATCAATGAAAAGGTGTCATGGGAATTCTTGTCCCTGCCAGTAAATGGAGAGGGCTTCTGGAAAACAGTTTGAGACTTCAAGATGCTGTACACTCAGATCCTGTCAAGTAATTCTTAAAATTTCACCTAAAGAAAAAAGTCAGAGCCAGGAATGTAGGGGACGGTTTGTCTTGGCCTGGCAGATGTGACTCGGCTCTGCATGGAAAACCTACAGATGCAAAGTGGTGGCAGGAGCCAGACCTTCCAACCGAGTTTTCCCGTGGGAATCAGGCCTAGAAAATGCGTACAGATTGTGTGGCTTGCTCTTGTAAAACTCCCTCACCCTGGTCTAAAGCAACAAATGTACATTGTTTATCCTCAAGGTAACTCCCAAAACCCGTGTGAGCTCTCCCAAGGACAGAGCTAAGGAGCTCCTTGCCATCCCCCTCTGCAGGCTATTTCTGTTTCCTTGATTGTACCTAGAATGTAGATAATAATGCTCTGTGTGATAGATAATACATCTTTCTCTGATGTAAGACCCAAGGAAGACAATAAAAGCCTGTCCAGGCAGGGGTCAGGGCGCTCCCCTCTTGAGGGAGTGGCCGAGGCACCGTAGGCACTCTCCCCTTGAGAGAGTAGTCGTGCCTGTTCCCTTTTTCCACACAGGGTTGTTGTCACCTGTGGATTGATTCTCATCGTAAACCACAACAGGCGGACTCTGCTGGACAGGGTCTGCAACACAGGAACAGAGAGGTCTGCATAAGAATGTTCTCCATGATGTTATTTATAACGGAGAAAACAGCCCCATCAAAATGTCCAACAACAGGCTAATGATATAACACCTATCATTACTAAAGTAAGTGATAGTACATCTATCCATTAGACTACTGTACAAGCATTTAAAGTTTGTTTCAAAACACACAGTATTGCCCAGGCTAGAGCGCTGTCCTGATAAGCCAAGGCTGTGGGTTCAGTCCCCGGTCAGGGCACATAGAAGAATCAACAAGTGAATGAATGCATCAGTAAGTGGTGTTTCTCTCTCTCTCTCTGTCTCTCTCTCTAAAAATCAATCAATAATTTTTAAAAAAAGACAGCATTGTGTTCCCTGCCGACCTCACAGTCTTCTGAGCAGCTTACCTTCTCTTCCGGTCTCCTCCAGAATCCAGGTGTGCCCCGAACCCCAGCCTTACTGTCTCTTACAGGAGCCCCCTGCCGAACTCTAGCCAGTCCTCCCTTCCCTGGGCAGATGGATCTGCTGTGACTTAGAAGCTGCGATGGAGCCCATGGAAACAGAATGAAAGGACCCAGCTCCTGACATCCACCTCCTGAAAAATCGCCTGTGCCCCTTGATTCCACCCTCGGTATTTAAGCGTTTTCTTTCATTCTGGCATCCGTGCTGAGCTTCTCTCCTGGGTTCATGTTAGTATCAGCCTGAGGCCTCTTTCCAGGACTCAAAACTCTACCCCAGCATCTTCCCCATGTGTTCCGCTCTGCCGGCCTCTGGGCCGAGGCAGACAGCCCTTGGTTACATCCTTCGGGAAATTAGTGAGCAGCCCGAATGCCCGCACCGGCTCTCACTAACCTTTTATGCTTTGGCTGAAGTTAATGCCATGGCTCACAACAGCAACAAGGTAATTTCATCTGGGCAAAACTAAGGTTTAGGGGAGAGAGCTATAAACCCAACAAGATGTCAGTCCACAGCCTGCATTGGGCCTATGGGTTATTTAGAAGTGTGTTGTTTACTTCTCAAATACCTGGAGATTTTCCAGATTTCTTTCTGGTATTGATTTCTACTTTAATTTCAATACAGTCAGAGGACAGAGGGTGTATGATTTCAATGCTTCTAAATCCGTTAAGACTTGTTTTCGTGGCTCAGGCTATGCTCTGTCCTGGTGTATGTTCTAAGTGCCTTAGAAGTGAATTTGTGCCCTGATGCTGTTCTGCAGAGGGTTCTGTAAATACCTGAAAGCCGTTTGATTCTTCCGAAGCTTGTGTTTAAACCTACTAGGTGGGTGCACAACAGCTCTGCTCTAGGACAGCTTCGGCCCCACGAGGAAGGCAGGGCACACCCTCACTCACTCCATGAAGAAACGACTGTGCTGCAGAACCGCCAAAGGTCCTGTTCGCACCGGACCGCGGCGGGATCAGCACCTGCGTCCCCCAACAAAGAAGCCATCAAACCACGTTACTTCGCTCCTGCCCCCAGATAATCACCATCCGTCCAGTGCTATTAGGTGCTACGTGTCTATATCTTGTGTGCACTTCTGTAATCTGACAGCCCCAGTAGTGCCAGGGCAGGTACGACCATTACCACCATTTAAAGAGAAATAACCAAAAGCTCAGAGAGTTCAAATAATTTGTCGAAGACAGCAGGTCTCAACGTGTGGTGCTCGAAATGCTCCTGGAGGTCTGCTGGGTCAAACTATTTTTATGATAATATTACAGTGTTGTTTCTCTTTTTTACCACATTGACCCTTGTACTAAAGGTCTAAACACAAAGGGGGGTGACGCACTTGCACTTCAGCACAAACCAAGGCAGTGGCACTGAATATACTGGTAACTACTGTATTTTTACTGTGCCCTTGCACTTAAAAAGGTAGTTTTACTTAAGGATATTCTTAGTGACACAGTATATTAGTTCCATAAATTGCTGACCCATTCATTTATACCACTTTCAGCATTGCAAGGAAAGGCATTTGTAAGATTGAGCTGCGAGCTGGGCTTGCCATTTCTTTCCCCTAGAACGTTGTTTCTGCTTAAAATAACTATTGATGGACAAACTATGGTCAATCACACTTAGTTACACGGCGAAGGTTTTCTCGAAAATGAACAGAATGATGTATAACTTAGGAGAAAACAACTGACAGTATTTGTTGCCAATGATAAGCTAAGCTTCTGGGGAAAAATGAAATTTTGTAAAACTTGTATTCTCCACCATGAACTTGGCACACTCCCAATAATTCAAGGCTTTCTTGATGAAGTTGGTAAAGATATCAACAAATGTGATGTTTTTGTTATTATAAATGAAATGTGTCAACAATTTTGAAGACCTGCTTAATTCAATGAAAAATATTTTCAGAATGACGATGCCACAAAATCATGCATTGGAAGTATGAGATAAAAATGAATTTTAATGTGACAGAATATTTTTAGAAGTTCACCAGTATGGTTTAAGATTTCATACTGCAACTAACTTTTAAGAAACTACCACTTGTCAATTCTGTCAGATCAAAGAATATTCAGAAAATATTCAAGAAGGCTATTAAAGAATCCTAGGAGCAGCAAGAGATAAGGGGACAGTCACCTACAAAGGAGTTCCCATCAGACTGTCAGCGGATTTCTCAAAAGAGACCTTACAGGCAAGAAGGGGCTGGAAAGAAGTATTCCAAGTCAAGAAAGGTAAGGACCAACATCCAAGATTGCTCTGTCCATCTAAGCTTTCATTTAGAATCCATTCTAGGCCAGATAAAGTGCTTCTCAGATAAGGCCAAATTAAAGGAGTTCATCATCACCAAGCCTGTATTACATGAAATGTTAAAGGTATTTATCTAAGAAAAAGAAGATAAAACATATGAACAGTAAAATGACAGCAAATTCACAATCATTAACAAACATACCTAAAACAAAAACAAAAGCAAACTAAGCAAACAACTAAAACAGGAATAGAACCACAGAAATGGAGATCACATGGAGGGTTATCAATAGGGGAGTGGGAAGGGGAGAGGGGGAAAAGATACAGAGAATAGCATAGGTGGCAGGTAGAAGATAGGAAGGGGGAGGGTAAGAATAGTATAGGAAATATAGAAGCCAAAGAACTTGTATGTACAACCCATGGACATGAACTAAAGGTGGGGGGAAATGCGGGTGGGGGGTATGCAGGGTGGAGGGGAGTGAAGGGGGGAATGGGACAACTACGGTAGATCACCAATAAAGTATATTCTTTAAAAGATTGGAAAAAGTGTAAAATCATGTCATTCTTGTCACTAAATTTAGGTCTACAGTTTTTTTCATAAAAACGGTATTTATATTAACATATAATAGGTTGATTATCATTACATTTAAATGGATTAGTAAATAATTATTTACAATTTTGATATGTTTTAGCTGTGAACACGGTAAATATCAATAGGCACGACCCATTCGGATTGTAAGTGCATGTAAGTGTATGTTAAGTGCATGCTTGGTTGTATGGTGCCCTGAGGTCAAAATGCTTGAGAAGCCCGGTCTGTAACTATCGCCCTGGGAACTGATGGGGCTGGTCCCCTGCCTGGCCGGCTCTCCACACCGTGTTGTTTCCATGACACAATGTTACCTCCTTACCCAAAAGTCTCATCAGTATTAAAGTGGTAAATAAAGTGGAATCCCCATGGCTTTATTTTGCAATGTTTTTTCCCCACTATATGTAAGCTTTCTGATGTTTAGATATGTTTAGATATGAGAAACACAAGTTTCTTATCCCTAACCCTTCAGAACCCCATCAGGGACTCAAGATGACTCCTTTGGGCGATGGAATAAAAATGAATTGATGTTTCTCAGTAATCCACTTATGACACAAGTAACAATCATACTGAGTTTTATATTACATATAAAGCCCAAACACTTGGGAGACGTTTTTTATTAGATTTTACAAGACAGAAGTAATTCTCACTATTTGGCTCCCCAGTGGTTTCTCATCCCCTTGGTGCTGAGCCCCAGGAATCAAATGCATGCTTTGGGGGGGCCCACTTTGCTGGGGGACACTCTCAGGAGGAAGTCTTGCATGCCCCGCCGCAGCACCGCGTTCTCGGCAACCTCCCTCAGGCTTCTGTGCAGCTTCTCCATCTCCTTGTACTCACTTCTGACGTCTACGGAGGGGCAGAAAGCATCACCGGGAGTCAGCATCCTTCTCAGAGATGTCCCCAGAAAACAAGTCCCCTGAGAAGCATGTTATGACCTGAGTCACTTGTCCCAGAATGGGAGATCCAGAATGAAGGGTAAGGATCAGAGCGTCCAACCGTTTTGTTTCGTAAATAGACTGGTCACACCCGGCCTTCTTGCTCTTTCCTTGAGCAAGAAGGTAAGAGCAAGTGGCTTCTCTCAGCACAGCGGTCACCGGCAAATGACTAAACCTACCCATAACTCAGGTCTGGGCCCTCATTGGGCCTTCCAGGGGCTTGGTAAAGGACATGCAATGCACACCCTGTGATGACGTGCCCTAGGTCCCGTCCAGGCACTCCTCTCCATCCCTGTCCCTCCCCTCCCAGCAGTCCCCATTCTCAGTGAATTTGCCCTGCTGTGCACCTTGGGTTTTCGCCCCCCACCTGCAAAGATACCTCGTGGTTCTTTTACATTAACTTGCCCGGGCGGTGGTGCCCAGGTAGGTGGTCAAACATTATTCTGGCTGTTTCTGCGTGTTTTTGGATGAAATTTACACTGACATTGGTCAGCCTTGAGTAAAGCAGATTTGCTCCTCATCTCATCACATGAAGGCCTCACAGGAACAAAAGGGCGGCCTCTCCCTTGAGAGAGGGCGCTCTCCTGCTTTATTTTTCTTCGTAGCATTTACCATCCTTCGGCACGCCTCATATTTTTGTCTAAGGTTTGGCTTACTGCCTGCCCCCCGACTACTGGGCTGTAAGCTCTGTGAGCAGAGGTGTCTGTCTGCGTTGGTCACTGCTATATCTTCAACACCTAGAGCGCTGCTCGGCACACGGAGAGGGGCTGTAATTACTTGTTGGGTGAATCCACACTGTCAGCAGGCAGAGTTATGGATTTGAATCTGCCGTTTTCCAGCTGTGGATCTTTGGGCACATTCTGTCATCCAAGTCTCTATTTCTGCATCTGCAAAATGGAACAGTACCATCTACCCCGAGGGCTAATGTGCAGATTCGATGAGATTGCGCACAAAGCCAGCATACGATGCTTGGTCTCCGTCGGGTGCTCAGCAAAGGGTGGGGGAGTTATAATTGTCATCATCATCTTTATTCCTGCCCCTGGAAATTCCTCCGAAGTTAATTTATTTAAATCCACTAAGGAGCCACCGCACCTGGGGTGGGGGAGGTCTGCAAGGTCCTCCCCTTATGCAAAGATGTTGTGATTTACCTGCAAGCTCCTTGTAGAGACCATCCCCCTGGGGTGAAGCAAGGGTCAGCATGGTGGCGATACTGCCCTTCACCTTCTCCGTGATTCCGTTCTGCACAAGAAAGGGTGGTCATTCTGTTAGGATGGCACAGCCCACAGGAAAGGGAATTTTATGAAAGGGACCCCACCCAATTTCCCAATCAGAGTATACTGACTGGGCTGGCCAAAGTCAGAGTCAGGTCCGAGGTGGGCCACAGAAAGGCTCAGGAGTCACCAGGACAACACGTCTGTGGGGGTCCCACTTGTCTCCGCATTCCCTTTCCTGCCTGTAAGAGGGATTGTGCCTCTGGTGCTGAGGGACTGAATTGGGAGCCTACCAGGGTGCAAGGAATCGTGGGAGAGATCAGAGCAACCAGGGACGAAAAAAGGGGAAGTGCTGCTCACTATCCCACCACCCCATCATGCATTTAGTCACTGGATACCTGCTTATTGAGCACCTGCGTTGTATGATACACCGCACTTGACATTCCTCACTTTCCTTCCACCTGCCTGACAAATGTCTCTTGCTCCTCTCAGTCCTTCTATCACCTAAAACCATGTTCCCTCTTGTAACCAGCCCTTGTCTCCCTTTGCAAAGTAACTGATTCTCTCTTCTAGTCTGACAGAGCCTAGTTTTGAACCTGGAGCTTCTGACTCCAAGTCATGTGCTTTTCTCTTCAACACCCCAGGCCTAAAACCCTAAGCTCCAGCCCCCACTCTAGCTTCGAGCCTTAAGCTAGTAACTTAGGCCCGCTGGGGCGTCAGCTTCCTTGTACGTGAGATCAGGGAATGGGAACACTCTGTGGTCTTGCCCAGTTGCAACTTCCTGCACTTTTATCACTTAAGATACATTTGTATGTGATCAAAGTACTAATCATTTTTTTTAGTGGAGTTGTTTTCTTGGGCACCTTCAGGGCCTATTTCCATACACCCATTGAGGACCGGATGCTGTAGAGTCTGGCCAGTTTCTGCACATTCGTAGACTGTGACAATATGTTAAATGACAGAAAGTAAATTGCTACTGGTAAACCAGAAATCTCTAGCCTATTCCAAGAGAAATGACATGCTTTGTATTGTGGGTAAATGTATTTTCCACAACTGCAGTGATGCGGGGGGTGGGGTGGGGGTGCAGAAGCAGGTTGGAGCTGATTCAGGAAGTAGGTCAGTTCAGAGCTGGACCTGAAGGGCCACTGGCCAGCTTCCTGGGAGGTGAGGAGAGAGTCAGCTGAGCCTGGGCTGAGGCAGAATTTGGAGACTCACATGGCCAAGGGCCAACAGTGGCTTGGACTAAAACAAAGAATTTCTATGTCTTGGGCAGGAAGGGTGACAGGCCCAGAGCTGAGACTGGTCCGGGTGGAGTTGACAGAAGCACTTAGGTTCCAGGACAGTGTTAGGAACTGTCTCCCAAGACAGACAGAATCAAACCTAAATCTCTGCTGGGTACTGTAAGCAGATGGCCCGTAAGAGATTATGATATTGTTGGAGACCCTGAGCCTGGTTGCCTGGTCCCGAACCCTAGTTCCGCAGCTTTCTTGCTACGTGGCCTGTGCTACAGCACTCTGCCTTGTTTTCTTATCCATGAAATGAAAACAGTAATAGTGCGGTCATCTCTCAGTATCCACAGGGTACTGGTTCTAGGACCCCCACCTCCAGCAGACACTGAAATCTGAGGATGCTCAAGTCCCTTATGTAAAATGACGTAGTATTTGCATATAGGCTCTAGCAGGGCACGCCTACCCCTCACTTCATTCACATGGATTTAGTGTAGTGCTCACTGTATGGCAAATTCAAGTTTTGCTTTTGGGGACTTCCTGGAATTTTCTTCCTGAAGACTTCCAATCCATGTGGGTTGTCTCTGTGGATGTGAAACCCGTGGATATGGAGGCCGACTGCACCTACCTCACAGACTCACTGGGGAGGAAATGAGCTAATGTATACGCAAGAGCTTAGCATGCTATCTAGATATTACAGTTCCACTGATGATTGTTAGAGGGGAAAGATGCAGGAGCGGGCCGGAGGGGCTGCATTTCTGAAGTCACAGCCCCAGGGCGGCGCGTGACTCCAGCCTGTGGTGGCAGTGAAGGTGAATGCCCAGTGCCAGCCGGCCCCTCCTGGCACCGTGGGCATCGGTTGGACCCACTTTGCAGAAGACATCCGGCTGTCCTTGGGCCCAAACGACTACCACTGTGCCAGCTTCCTCTGCTTCGCCAGGAGCCTCTTTGAGACTGGAATAGAGACTGTGGCTGTGGGATGAGTACCTTCAGCTGCCGAAGCTGGTGCTGCATCCTCTCCTGGGCCCTTTCAAACATGCCCTCGGCCACCTGCTGGTCCACCCCTCTTCTGATGACATCCTTCATCTTCTCACACGCTTTTTTGCCAGTGATCTGAGCTGCCTCTGGCAACATTGATAGTCACAGTTACACCACAGCAAAGACTTGCTTGGAAATCTTTAGCCCCAGAAAGACAAGCATACTATATGTATGCTACACACATGTATACATATATACACACATACATAATATACATATGTACATTTATATATTAATATATGTAGTACCATTTTCCACACAGTGGAAATAGTTTAATAGCATGATATAAAAATTAATATGCTCAATATTTAGATCACAGGTGGCAAACACAAGGCCCATGGGACGAATCCGGCCCTCCACCTGGTTTTACCCGACCCAGCACCTGGTCTCTGCCTGGCAACAGCACCGAGTTCCCTGCCCCTAGTTAAGGAGTAGTTACATTTATACAGTCCTAAAGTTACATTCGGCCCTTTGAAGACAACCGCCAGGCTGATGTGGCCACTGGTAAAAATGAGTTTGACACCCCTGATCTAGATAACTATTGTTCAGAAAATCTAATGAGTGAATGAAGCAGGTGCTTATAAAATTCCAGCCCCTTGCCTCACAGAGAAAATAATAAATAATGAGGCTATCAAAATAAGAAGCTATCAAGTCAGTCTACAAGTACTTAAGAAAATGAGAACGAGAATTGGATGATGAATTTCACAGTTAAATTGGCTGCAGTGAGGCAGGGAAAGGAGAAGCAAGATGGAGAGATAAAGGATGGACAGAAGGAACCAGAAACACACAGATAAAAATGGCTCATCATTTACTTCCCCCACACTCTTGCCATTATTTGGTTTTAATTTGTAGACCACGGGAGTTGCAAGGACTTAGGAGGCATCAGGAAAAATACTTTGGGGGGGGGGGGCAGCAGAAAAGGATGCTAAGGTAGCTGACAGAAAGAGGAAGCAGAAATGTTTTAAAAAAAAAAGAAAGAAAAAGAAATGTGGCCTCCAGGGCCCAACCTTCGTAGCAGGGCTTCAGGTCGCTCTGAACTGAGGTGGTGAGAGACTCGTAGATCCTCCTCTTCTTCCTGAGGATGTGCCCCTCCAGGCCCCCCAGGATGGCGCTTATCTGAGAATCACAGGAAGGAAAGGCCACCTGTGACGATGCCTTCCACAGAAGCTGGCCAGTTGCTCCTGTTTACAGTCACGTGACTATAGTGTTGTCACGTGACTCCGGCAGGGCCTGCGCTGTGGGCGGAATATTTGCGCCCTCCGCCCCACATTCATGCACTGAAATCCTAATCCCCAATGTGACGGCTTTGGGCGGTGGCCCCGTGGAGGCGATGGGTCAGGAGGAGGGGGCTCCTGTGGCTGGGATCCCTTTCCCATAGAAGAAGCGTGGGAGGGCTCCCTCACCCCTTTGAACCGGGCGGCAGGCCCAGCCAGACGCCAAATCCGCCTGCACCTTGATCAGACTTCCAGCTCTAGAACCGTGAGCGGTAAATGTCTGAGGTTTATCAGCCACCCAGTTTATGCTGTTTTGTGAGCGCAGCCCCAGTGGACTAAGACAGCCTCAAAGACGAAAATCTCAAGGACTCTAAACCAAAAAATGATCTGCAAACATATGACACTTTTTTACCCTTCACTGCTGTGGGTAATGCTTCCTAATATTGGTAAATGTGATAGAGAGGTGAGTGAAAATGTTACAGGTAGATTCAAGTTTTTGTACATCTAAGGAGTCTTTGAAGATTCTTCCCAGGACCCGAGTCTACCGCGCAATCTCAGCATTTACTGTCAGTGGCAGGGGACCAGCGGGACAAAGCTTGGGGGGTGCCCTGCCCCTCTGTGCTGTGGGGCGCATAGCCCCTGCTCTAGGGTTCCCACAGACCCCGATTCTGCAGGGTTGGGAGAGACAGGCAGTGGCCAAAATCCTGTTGGGAAGAAAGCCACTACCAACCTCACTGCTCTTCTTAAGATAGAAGGATCTTACCTCCTGGATCAGGAAACGTTTTTTGCAGTTGTCATACTTCCAGCCATTTCTTATCCCAATTTCCATCATTTTCTCCTGGAGAGAGTGCTTAAACGCATCTATGTGCGGCATCAGAGCTGACCCTGTGGGCGTTCCAGCCCTGCGGAAGAAAGCAACGTAAAAATGTTAAGTGATGACAGTGCCTACTATGAGGCTAAAACAAAGAGGAAGCCAACTGGCGTGCTCTCATTCCTTTTTAAGCAAAGGGGACAAGACCTGACAGTCGCTGAGTTCCTATAATGAGTGTGGGCACTGTGCTGGGTCAGGCCATTGACATCAAAGCCTAGGAAATCAGTGTGATGATGCCCATTTTACAGATAAGAAAACTGAGGTTTGAAGGAGGTAGGTGATGTGTTTCCAGGCCACACAGCTAGTGAGAGGCAGAGCCAGGCTTTGGACACTGATCTGTTTACCCTCAGAACTCAGTCTTTGCACTTGAAAGAGTGGGACTGGAAGTATACCTTCAGAGATGGTTAAGACTTAAGGGAATGAAAACAAGGAGGATTATGCATCAATAGGCACAAGACAGTAAAGAAAGTTTCAGCACAGCCCAGGAATAAGAAGCAACAGGTTCAAAGGAGAGAGCGTGGGCTCGAAATCCTCGCTCTTTCCCTGTGAGCTGGGCGAATCCGTTTGTTCACTGATAAAAAGACAGAAACCCTTCAGAGGGTTATTGGGAGGAGGTGAGGACGCAGTGCACCCAATGCACTTAGCGTGGTTCCTGGAACGTCTCAGTTGCTTTCTGCTCCCTCCAGGCTGTCTAAAGCTGAGGGACGACCCTGGGCCACACACAGCTCTGGAAGAGATTAGAAAGGTCAGTGGGAGGCAGGTGGAATGCCTTGAATGCCATTCTAAGGACTTTGGAGTTTATCCTACAGACCTGTACATGGTGGGTGAGCATAGGTGGAATGGTATGATCTCAGAGGAGTTCAAAAGGAGGTGGGGGTGGGGAAGCGGGCAGTGAGTGAGAATCAAGCAAAGGTAGAACGGTTCAAGCAGCAGCAGGTGGTGAACCAGATGGCATGCTAGAAGCAACGGCGGGAGACTGGGGAAAGGCTGGAAGATCAGGAGCTTCTGTTTCTATCGGTGGAGAAAAGGATTGGTGGTCAAGAAAGAACGGAAGGAGGGGACACCAAGAAGGCACCTGCCCCCGCCCATGCCACGTCTGTGAGCATGCAGTCCGTCAAAAACAAACACAGAGTCCTCAGTGAGTCACGTCTTTGCATTCAGGGAAATTTATGAAAGCCATGTGTTTGCTTAACTCCACACTCTCCAACCAAAATACCCTATCCTGGGCTCAGATCCGTAAGAAAATTTATCCCCCACTTCATGTATAAGATATTTGAAAAATAATGGGAATCATAATATTAGTCTGAAAGCCACATCTCTATCTGCTCTCCAGGTCACCACGGGAAATTTCTAAGTAAACCAAACCCAGAAGGCTTTTGTGTTTTGCCGAAGAGTAAGCTTTCTTCCTCAGCTGCAAGCTACTCTCGACACTTCCAAATCCAGGGTACAAGTTCTTAAAGATGAGACTCTGGCCCAACATCCTTCAGATGTTTGTTCACAAAGGAACAAGAGGAAAGACCCTTTACCTAAAAATGCCTCCAAAAACTGGATCGATCTGGTCATAGATGGGCTGCGTGATGGCCTCGTTCAGATCTATTCGTGGGAGAGTCCTGGAGGCATAGATGCCATTCTTCAGGCAAACAGCTTTCAAAGTCTGGTGAAAGCCCTGGTTTCCCCTGCTCCTCTAGATAAGTAAACGGAGGGTTAGTGGACTTAATATACAGACTAGAGCATCACAGATCAGAACTGCATTGCCTTTGGCCAAAGGCTATTACCAAGAATCACAGTGGCAGCAACATATTCTTTCACCTTACTACCAAGCTAGACAGAGAAGATAGCAGTCATCCCGTCGGTGGGGTGCCCCTGCCCTGGGGCTTCCAAAGCACCCTGTGCTCGCTTCTCTTCTCATACAGTTTTGCATTTGTCTGTTTACTCTGTAGGTTCCCCTATATTGAGATCAGACACTGTGTCTCATCTGATACCTTGATGTCCGCGCCATCTGTGGAGGGCATGAGTCACGCTTGACAAACATCTGCTGAATGAGCAGTGACAAAATGAAAGTGTGGTACGACCCTACAGGGGAGGGGGGTAGCTGTTTTGGAGTTTTGCAAGCACTGTCACAATTTTTTATACTTTTTGTTAAATATTTAAGGAAATGCAATTTGATTTATGTATCTTTGCAATATTTTTTCCCAGAGAAATAAATCAACAAATCAGAGGGGGAAAATATTATGAAGCTAGAGCTGTAAGAGACATTGATAAATTTTAGCCAATGGGGATCTTTGTAAAGAGAAAAAAAATACATTTGCACTAACCTGACCAAAATTTCAGTAGAGGGCTTTGAGATCATTATTCAATGCTATATGTCTTTTGTTTTTTTAATTTATTTTTATGGTATTTTTTCCATTACCATATACTTCTCTCCCCCTAACCCCTGTAGTCGCCACACTGATACCTCTGACACAAGCTTTAAGGGAACCCCTTTCAAGTGAATAGCTGTGTGGCACCATTCTATCTACCTGCCTGCCTACCTATCTACCTACCTACCTATGTATCTTATTCTTCCCTTTTCACTTAATACTATAGCATGAGCATTTCTTAACTCATTATAAATAATTTGTAAAAATGACGGTAGTAACCACATAATACATCCTATGGACGTATTATGATTCATTTTACTATTCTCATGTTATTAGACATTTAGGTTATTTTACTCTGCTACATAATGATATGATGGTAGCATATAAATGTGCGCCCACATTTCTGATCACAAAGGAAAGCTGCTTACCAAATAGGGACACCTTGGGTGTGTTTACGCTCACAGAGAAAGAAGCCATTAAGGGGCTAATCAGAAAGAGGCGAGTTCATGGAATGAAGCCCTTGTGGAGGCCTGCAGCTGGCTGCCATGTCCCTTCCTTTTACAAGCAACTCGTCTCCTAGGAGACGTCTCCACCTCGTGCCTTCACCTTCTCAGCACCCATTTGCTCATTCCCTTCCTGTGATCTGGGATCTCTGGCCCTTGTATAGAATCAGTTCTCTCCGGGTCACTTAGTTATTGCTATGAAACAAGTTACCCCAAACTTAGTGGCTTAAAACAGCCACAAGCTTTTGTTATCTGTCACGGGTTGTGAGGGTCAGGAATTCAGACTGGTGTTGGCTGGTGGGTGTTTCACAGTTCACTGGGCGGCCAGGCTGTGCAGCCAAGGTTAAAAGGCAGATAAGTGCCACCCAGAAAACAGACCCGTGGATGATTCAAGGTCACTGGAAACAGATAACTGGCTCAAGGGTACAGCATTTACTCACAGCAGGAGGAGGGAAAGTCTGCACGAGATCCAGCCAGCCCCTTGTAACACCTGGGTCCCCGTGGCCAGAGGACCCACTCCACAGGGAGGCAGGTGATACAGTTGCTCACGGCCCACTTTGTGCTGTGGTAGGAGAACCCAACCCTGCCCCACAGATCGGAAACACAGAAAACTGGGGGCTTGGCTGAGGACCTTCGGTGCCTGCTCTGAGCAGAACAAAGGAGTTCACACTGAGCATGACACAGAGAAGCCAGACAAGCCCAGCGCAGGCTGTGAGGGCTCTTTATCTCTCGGTAGGAAGAGTTCCAGGCCCAGGGCCCCTTCTCATGTGGCCAAGTGAGGGTCAAAAGACTGCATGTACCAGTGGCCTTTGCCAAAGCTGGCCGGTTCTGGCTCAGGGCTTCTCTGTGAGGGTCCCTCGGGTGTCAACGGGGTTTACGGTCAGCCCCCTGACTGCGGCTAGAGGACCTGCTTCCAAGGAGGCTCATCACAGGGTGAGGAAGATGGTGCTGGCCATTGGTGGGGGCCTTGACACTGTTCCTCGTGGACTTCAGCACAGGGAGGCTGGCTTCCCACTGAGCAAGAGACCGGGCCTCGGAAGCCACACACTGTCCTACCTGCAGCACTCTGCCGCCCACGGAAAGCAGCTCTGTCTGACTCTGTGAGGGGGGAGACTCCACCAGGCACAACGGCCAGGAGATGAGGCTCGCTGGGGCCAGTTTGGGGCTGCCTATCACGGTCACCAGTGAAGACTCTCGATGGCCACACCCAGTTGCCTTTTCTTACCCTGATTTTCCTTAACTCCTCAGGAATATCTCAGAATCCCCTTAACGACAGATGCGTGACCTTTCCTGCTTGCTTTTCGTATCAGAAAATAAGACCTTGAGCATTATACTAAAAATGAGTATTAAAAAATAAGGAAATAAGCACTACACTATTTCCTCTTCCTACTACCTCTGGGACTGAGCTCTCTCTGCTCCCTCTCCTGGCTCCTCTTTATCTTGCTCCCTAAATGAGGCCTTCGTCTGAGGTTATATCATACTATTGTCCCCCTTCCTACTCCTCAGTGCCTTTCACTCCTATAGATCTGAGTGTACATTTCTTAGAGGTCACTACCAAACCCTGACCTTGGGGATCGGGCAGACCTCACCAGAGGCTTTCCCTGGAAAGGGTCACTCACCACCAGACATGCCCTGAGGATCCGTCGGTAGGAAGTCCTGGCATTTCTGACCCCTTCGTGCAGAGGCTGTGCCATGTGGGCGAAGCACTGGTCGATGGCCTTCTCCAGCAGCTGTACTTGCTCTTCCACAAATCTCCGCAGGCCACTCATGTGCAAGTGCTCGTTCTAGGGGCAGGACCATAGGGAGCATGAAGCCACCGCCTCCCTAATGGCACTTTCTCCTCAAATTTTGCTTCCTTTGAATTTGATTTAGCCTGAGTTTATCCCCCACAGTTGACTTCTCCTTAATGTCCCAATTAAGCATCCCTCAAGCTTTGTGGGACGGGAGAATGGAACAACCATATGCCTCCTGCTGCTTTCTTTAGGTGTATAGCCCATCGGACGATTTGGGGGAATAGTTATCCAAATAAAAACTCTTAATGAGCTTTGACTGTGCACCAAGCAGTTTTTGAGACCAGTGTTTCTCAAACTTTATTATGAATACAGATCACCAGGAGATGCAAATCTGAGGGCTTGGGAGTCTACATTTCTAGCAAGCCCCCAGGTGAGGCTAATCTTCTGTGCCCTGGACCATGCTTTGAATAACAAAGCTACAGCACCAAAAATTAAGGCTTGGCCCCTTCTTCAAAGGAGAATATGACCCAGCTGGGAAGAAAAATATCTACGCAAATCACAAAAGGGAGGGACCACCAGGGACAACCTCGGCCTTTAGGTTCAAACTGGAAACTCCAGTGTCGGTTCCCTGTGTGAGCGCCTTGGGGGGTCGGTTCCCTGCAGCAGACAGAAGCCACACTGTATGTAGCTGGGCACTCTCGGCCCTTCAGAGCCAGGACTCAAGCAACCTCTCCAGCATCACCGGCTCAGTTTGCCTGACATGTCCTCCCACGCAGCTGCCCCTGAACTTGCTACCATTCCCCAAAGGTGCCATATCCTTTGTGACCTCATGCCTTTGCCTGTGCTGTTCCCACCTTCTAGTCCTTCCAGACAAAGCTCAGCACTGACCTCCTATGTGATGCCCGCCCTCACTCCCCCAGGCAGATTGGAGCTCTCTCCTATGTTCCCACTGCATGTTGCACACCCCTGTGTCACAGCATTCCTCCTGCTGTGCTGTCTCTCTCATCCCACGTCTCCTCCTCTGGACTCTGGGGACTTGCTAAAGGGACAGAGTTGCTAAAGTCTGTTTACTCCCAGGCACAGCAAGTGCAGCCCGTAGACATTTATAGAGTGAATGAGCGGCCCGGGGACCTGGGGATAATGCAGGTTTATAAATTCTGTTCCAAATCTGATGACAGAAATGGCCCGTGAATTGACGTGTGACCTTAACGGATGACTTAGCTTCTCTGGATCTTGACTTCAGAGAAGACTGGGAGTGTTACAGTCAATGAGCTTGAGAGTTTAAGGAGCCTATTTAGCTTTAGGCATGCCCTGAAGGGTTCTGTGGTTTCACTGATAAGAATTCTCTAAGCCATACTGTCCTTCACATTCTTTTGAATTTGTGGCTGGTGATCGAAATAAGAACAAAGTCACAAAAACAAAATCTATGGACAGAATTCTCACAAAATCCTCACTCATAACAAATCCATGTTAGAAAAAACAACAAAAAATGATAACAAAGGGAAGGGCTGGAAATAAAAGAACAGTAAAAAGGGGAAGGGCCGGTACCTGCTTTGAATAAATGCAGGGCTCATTTGACATTGAGATGTCATAATCAATTTCCTATCAATCCTTAAAAAATAATGATTAGAGCCCTGTTCATTTAAAATCACCAGCTATATAAACCATCATTTTGTGTGTGTGTGTGTTTTAAGGCACAATCTCAAAAAAAAGTCAATCGCGTACATTTTTAGGTCTGATATTTTTCAGAATGCAAAGGAACTGACTGAATTCTTGCCTTCCAACTTTCCATCAAAAAACTAAGGCTGAGACCAGTATCTGAAGCCAAAGAATTTTGAAGAAAGCTGCTGGCAACTCCCTCTAAAAGGTTATCAAACAAGTGCCAACCAGCCCCCTCCACTGTGTTTTCTGTCGCCTGGAGTCTGGTTGCAAGGACGAGCCGAGCCCCTGGGAGGGCCATACTTCTGCATCAGTGGAGAGGAGCATGCGGGGCCAACGCTTTGAGTCCGATTGCAAAAGGCCTCGCTCGGTCTTTGTGTTTGTAAAATACACCAACCACACACAGTACCGCATCTGATTGGTTTTCCACCAGCACTTCCAAAAGCAATCTTTTGCTGGGCAGAGAGGCCACTTTCACCCTAAAGAACTTTTTCGGGAAATTAGGAGGTTAAACCTTTCCCCAGTGTTTAAGAGGACAAAGTCAAATTAGAAAGTCTCAGATTCCAGAAGGGTCTTTTTTTTTTTTAATTTCCCTCACAGAACTAGACCTTTTGGTATAATAAGAAAGGCATAAGGAATATGATATTTAAAAAGTGAATCTTTCTCTAGAGTTCACTTGTGTATAGAATTTTTAAAATGTGGACATTTGAGCCAAACTGCGTAGACCATCTACAGTTGGTGTTGAGTACTTTTCACATCGAATTCGGGGCTCTATTATCTGCCTCTCCTTGCCACTTCCCAGGGCCATCGCAGGCTCACTTTCCCACGTTCCCAGGACCTTGATCTCCCATAGAGCCCTACTGGTCCGCTTTCTCTGTCCCTTTCCTGTTCTGCACACCAACAAGTCACACAACTTGCATAAATCTGATGGTGAAAGCAAGTGCGAAAATAAACAGCAACCAAACGAGAACACCCAAAGCCCATTTACTCAGAGGTTGCTATAGCAAAGCAGTCAGCCACGGCCACTTGCGTTTGGCAGAGACTCGAACAGGCCCTCGAGTAGGCCCTGACTGCAGGCCGTGGACACGGGGTAGCTGCAGGCGGGCCAACTAGGAGTAGGGAGCCTGTGTGACTCAGCAGAGCGCCTACTTGGCATTCTCTGGTTGGTCCTAAGTTGGTTGCAGGGTAATTGAGGAAAGCTGTCAGTTGTTAACTAAGGTCTGGCCATTTGGGGCCGACTGTGACAGAAGTTATCCTTTAGTTTCTTGGATCATTGTGAGAGACAGCAGTCTGACCCCCTGCAAGCCTAACTTCCAGCATGCTGGCTTCCCGAGCTCTTTATTGTCGAAGAAGGGCTGGTTTCCTCAACAGACCGTGGGTCTGAATTTTTTCTTTACACAGTTGACCCTTGAACAATACAGGACTTAGGGGAGCTGACCCCTGTGAAGTCGAAAATCTGCATTCAACTTTGACTCCACTACACTACGGATGGCCTACTGTTGACCTGAGGCCTTACCGATAACAAAAACAGTCAATTAGCACGTATTTTGTACGTTATATGTTTATATACTGTAGCCTTACAATAAAGTGAGCCACAGAAAAGAAAATGTTAGTAATAAAACATAAGGGGAATACAGTTACAGTACTATATGTATTTAACGAAAAAGTTCCTTATGAGCAGACACACGTGGCCCAAACCTGTGCTGTTCAAGGGTCAACTGTCTACGATTGTCTCTTCATCAGTCAGTCCCTCACAAGGAAGAAATGTGGTTGGTGACTGGTTCCAGCAACAGATTTTCCTCCAGAACTCTCTTAAGCCTCTACTTTTGCAGCTTATTCCTTTCATTTTAGGGTAAAAAAAGAAAGAAAGAAAGAAACCACCATCAAAGAGATAGATTTGTCCATTACTATGAGAAAAGTAATTTTAACAGGTCGCGTAGAAGGCACATGTTCTTACTGTGACAGTAAATACCTAAACTCTTGGCTGAAAGTCCCTCCTACTTCCCCTCCTCTCGCATCCTCGGGGCTCTGAGTTTGAGATCTGACAGTACCAGGGCGTGGCGGGCGTCCACAGACAGACGGGGACTTCTTGGACTCTGCCTGCACGTGCCTCTGCAGGGTGAGCAAGGATGGTCTGTATTCCACTAGACGTAACAAAGCACTGTGGCCACCGCTAAACATGTCCCGTCTTATTCAAGTGTCAGGAGAGGGGAAAGTTGCTGCCGACTGTTTTTACACTTTCTCCTCAGTCCACGTGTCCCAAGTAAAATATTCTTTCTTTTCTTACTCACATGTTACGGGTTTAAACTCTAATTATCTTTCTATTCTCTTTAGAGTCTCTGAGCTTAGTATCTTCCTTTGATGTGAAAAGGAAAAACATCCTATGTTCCTAACACGGTAAAAGACAATGCCCTGCCCCGGGAGGGGGGCAGAGAACACAGCCAGGCGGCGTCCATACCGGCAGGTTTTCGGGGCAGTTGAAACTGTCCGTGAGGAGCAGCAGGCCAAAGGCTTCGGTCACGTACTTGGTCACCGTCCTCCTCTTCTTGTCCAAGAGCCTTTTCCTGATATATTCTCTTAACTTGGGGATTTCTGGGATTCACAGGCAGCACAAACAATTTTATTAGACCAGAGTTCACAGGAAATAGAATTCGCCGCAATGACCAGGTCAGGACAGCAGTCTGAATGAACTGCTGTCCGGCTCCTACAGGGGCTGGACGCCCCCTAAACAGGCCTTCCTGAGGGCCTTTGCCCCAGGACTCTGACCCGCAATGACGAAGGGTGAGTCAGCAATGACAACCACCCATGTTTTTAGCGGCATAAAACAAACCGTGTAGAAAAGTGCAAGCTGGTTTTTAAAAACTGGCACTTCCTCTGGATGAGTACCTCCTTACCTGAGTAATGAAACCAAAGGTGCTCGCACTTTTAGAGTCTCGGCCCTTCAGTCCCCCTAGATTTTTCCATCTAATAACCTTTAATATCCAAACAGTTTCCACTTGCTGTTGGAAGGGAGAAGAACCTCTGATGGGGGAGGGGGCGGGGGGAGGGCGGGGAGTGGGATTCCAGAGCAGGAATTGAACTCCACCGCAACCTTTGGTCAGTCGGAAGGTAACAGCTGCCACTCACGGTCCTCTCCAGCGTTCCTTTCAGTGGAGGTTTTCCTACACCATTTCTTGCATGTACCATGCTGATTATTTCTTTTATATCCTTGTTCAAGCAGTCCCCCAATTTCTGGGATCATCTCACACCTTCTCCTCCTTAACTCATCCACATCTAGTGAAATGCATGCACATTTTAAGCCATTTTAAGCTCAGACCAAAGTCAAGCTCAGGTCCCCAGTTCTCACTGAGAACTCCAGGCACACAGGTCCCTGGGTTCTCTGACCTTTGACGGTACCTGTAGCCCTACTGAACTAAGCCTTATTTTCACTTTGACTTTTGCACATGACTTAGTATTAGCTCCTCATCTCGATTTTAAGTGGTATGAAGAAAGGGGCCACATCTTCTACTTTTTCCTGCTACAAACAAAGCAAAAATAGATACTCAGGAAATTCTTCATATTCCCATAGCTGGGTGCCTACAGACGCTCAAGCCAAATACTACCCCAGTTGCTAACCTTTGTGAAGCGATGGTGATATCTGGAGGAGAGACGAACTGTGGTCTCCGGCACCACAACCACGCCGAGGGACAAAAACAACAACAGGTGCATTTGCTAATAGGTATAGAAACTGTGGCAAGCTGGAAGTATGGACAAAAAGTTCTCAAGCAAAAAGTTCAGAGTGCCGAGTTTAATCCTGAGAATTTTAGTGATTGAGATTTTTGTTTTTAATTACCAGTTTCCTCTTCAGTGAGGAGAGCCTGTTGCCAGTACTCCTGGGCGCTGACCGTGTACACCAGATCTGAGGCTCCCAGAGCCTTGGAATCCGCGGGCAGTTTCCTCTGAAGCAAGAGGGGCACACAAGGGGCAGATTACTCAGCATGGCAAAGGAAACGGCACAGGCCTCCTTCACCTTCAGCTCCTTCACCTTCGGTTCTACAAGAGCCCATAAGGAACAGACAGTATTCTATACGTGAGGTGCTCCCATCTGTCCACACCTCACACGGTGGGAAGTTGTTTACAAAGTGCTGCACAGAAACTATTCCTTTGGGAGTTAAAATGATAATTCTAAAAAGAAGGCCTGGCTGGTGTAGCTCAGTGGATTGAGTGCGGGCCTGCGAACCAAAGAATCACTGTTCGATTCCCAGTCAGGGCATATGCCTGGGTTGCAGGCTGGTTCCCAGAGGGGACACACAAGAGGCAACCACGCATTGATATTTCTCTCCTTCTCTCCTTCCTCTCTAAAGATAAGTAAATAAAAATATTTTTAAAAAAGAAATGCACTGAGTAAATAGTTTAAAAGTGTATTTAAATGCTCAGAGTGAGAGAAGCACCAGGACCCGTTTTGGATAAAGAAACATAACCCTGGAAAAGGCAGTGATGGGCTGCAGGCAGCTTGTGCCAGCCCTGAGAGCCACTGGACACAGCTCTTCCTGACTCTGCCTTCACTGACATCACACAGGTTAAAACTGGCAATGGCGGGAGTCTTTACACCATGGGAATCGGCACACACTACAAATCAGGCCTTTTCTTTTCTTTTCTTTTCTTTTCTTTTCTTTTCTTTTCTTTTCTTTTCTTTTCTTTTCTTTTTTTAGTAGAGAGCTGATTGTTAAACACTTATCAGCACAACACAACCCGATACTGGGAAAAGGTTCTATAAAAGTGCAAGTTTCTGAGCTGGGTGGTTAGTGAATAATTTTACACATTTAAATACAAAGTGATGTTTAAGCAAACGATGGTTTTAAATGTCAAGAAATTAAGAATCGGGTGAGAGAAAATTTTTTATGATTAGAAAAACATCATCACAGAGAAGTCATACTAGAATTACGCACAAATATTGTTCCACAACCCTTCCTTCATCTCACTTAAAAGAGAAAAACCGTAAAGAAAGTGTGTTGTGGGGGGTGGTGCATAATTATAAAAAAATTAAAAAAAAAAAAGAAAGAGTGTGTGTGCAGTTATTTGGGGGCAGCAGAAAACAGTGGAGAGTCATCAACCTTTCTGATGCAAAGATAGAAAAGAGCCAATGAGTGAATCCCTGGCAGAGGGGAGAGTCTGTATGGGCAAGGTAAGCCCATGTGGTCAAGGTCAGACCAGAGACGCTGGGTAGGCTTCCAGAAGCCCCGCACACTTGAGTAGCAGTTGTGTGAGAGCAAAGGAGAGACACACAGGAGAAGTCTAGGTTTTCTTTACAGGTATGCTAAAGTGAAGGCAAATGCTGCATAATAACCAGCTCAAATGACATGTATGAGAAATTCAAAACCCAGCTCTCTCTCACTTGCCACATATAATTAGTCATTCAGACCTGTAGATCTAACCTCCCTAATATTTCTTGAATGTATCTGCTCTACTCTATTCCTATAGTGACTGCCTAGTTCAGACTCTCAACTAACCCTCCCTAATGGTCTTCACTCAACGCTCCCTGCAACCTTCCATTCTCCACACTGCTGAGAAAACAGTCTTTCTAAAATGTGTAGTACAATTGACCCTTGAAGAATATGGCTTTGAAATGTGTGGGGCCACTGATATGTGGATTTTTTTTCAATTGACCTCAATTCAAACCCCCATTTTCAAGGGTCATCTCCTCACTTTGGGAATCTGTGTATGCAGAGGACCAACTGCAGTTATACACATATGATTTGACTGCACAGGAGGTCAGTACCCCTAACTCCCACATGTTCAAGGGTAACTGTATTTTCAGATGGAGACCAATAAATGTACCCTCCAGGATCTGTAATTTTCCTTACTATTTTTTCTTAACTTTCATTTTTTATAATTAAAAAATAAGCATGGATGTCTATATGAATAACTGCCTTATAGTCAACCTCTGCCTCATGTTTTCTATAATTAAAATTAAATGTGCTCCAAATGAAAGCATACAGTATAGGTAAGATTTCACAATAATTCAAACTGAAATTAAGTGGTTGGAGAATTGCAGTACCACCTAGCCGTCAGAGGTGCAGCTGGGCAGACCTCAGAAGAACTTGTACTGCAACAGCCAAACCGCACTTGCCCTACGGGCTGATGCATTGCCGCCCACACCCTGTTCTGTCTCCCATACACACCAATTTACCCCCTTATGAGTGATACAAGCAGGCGTGAATTGTGTATCGAAGAATTTTACGTTTCTATTTCCAGGAGCAATACAATTAGGTACTCACAAAATGCATATTTCATAATGCCACAAAAACGATTAAAGAGAATAAGAACAGCTTTACTGATTTATTGCCTCATTAAAACCAGCATTCAAGAATTGTTTGGTAGAAGACTTTGGCTTAAATATGAGGTCTGATTATTCTGAATCAGAAAAAAAAGGTTTGAAATTTTCAATTCTGCGTTGTACTTCAGACAATTTCTGTTTGGATATAATTGAAGCCAAAATATAGAAAGCAATTAAATACTGAAATGGACCTAAGGCCATATGTTTTTACTATTAAACCCAGCACTGGAGATATAGTTTCAGCAAAACCATATTATCTACCACATTATACTAACTCTGATATATTGTACTCCTTATGTTGTTTTGTGTATATTTTATCTAAAAATTGGTTTCAGTTTTATGGTTGTATAAGACTATGATAGTAAGAAGCATCATATTTGTACTTATTTCTGTGACAGACAATAAAAATAATTTAAGAAAACACTGAGAGTCTCACAGAACATTTACTCAAGCTTGAAAAATACGGCTCAGGCCTATCTCCCAGCAGCCGTCCACACGCCTTTTGCCGAGCTATTCAAAATACTTGCATCTAGGTCGCCACACAGAACAGGTTTTTTTCAATCATGTTCTTCCCTCCATCTCAAATGCTCTTTTTCCTACTTCTTCACCACACGAAAGTTACTGGTGCTTTAAAATTCTGTTTGGAAGGCGGAGGGTTTTCCCTGAACCTACCCAGAGCCACCTCCCTGACTGCCAATGTGACTTGAGCGCCTTCCTTCTGTGTTCTCACAGTGACCGATAGTCCTCTGGCCAGACTGTGCGGTGATCCCTGACTTCACCCGCACACGTTTCTCAACAGACCATATGCTCGTTCAATTCTTCCAACAATCGGGAAGTAGCTGTGTTATTTCCCATTCCACGAATGAGAAAATGGGGGCTCAGAGAGGTATAGTAATTTGCCTAAGGTCACAAAGTTATTAATCAACAGAACTAAGGTAAGTCCAAATTGTCTACTCCCAAACTTTGGCCCTTGCTACTACCCAAGACCAAAGAGACATTTATTTTTCAAAATCTGAGTAATCGAAAAGCAGAAAAATACACAGAGAAATCTGTTAACTCACCTTTAGTTTTTCCTTGAGAATTCTATTCCTTTGTAGTTTTATCATTTCATTTCTTTCCAAAACAGCCTCTCGCTGACTTTGAATAGCTTGCTGCGATGTGAAGGGAAATAAAAGCATGGCAAAGAGTATACAATTATCAAGAGTGATGAAGTGAGCCCTGGCTGATGTAGCTCAGTGGATTGAGCACAGGCCTGCGAACCAGACAATCGAGGTTCAACTCCTGGTCAGGGCACATTCCTGGGTTGCAGGCCAGTTCCCTGCAGGCCAATTCCCGGCAGGGAACACATAAAAAAGGCAACCATACATTGATGCTTCTCTCCCTCTCTCCTTCCCTTTCCCTCTAAAGATAAATAAATAAAATCTTTTAAAATTTTTCACTTCTTAAAAAAAAAAAGAGTGATGAAGTATAAGATGCATGTTTTATTGACAGATCTTCACTTGGCCCAGACCAATGCACATACATTCAAATTATAGAATATTAATCACAGAAAGTATTGTTTAAAAATAACTAGTCTGGCTGCGGCCACATAGCTCAGTTGGTTGAAGTGTTGCCCTCATATGCCAAGGGTGCAGGTTTGATCCCTGGTCAGGGTACATACCAATATCAAGCAATGAATGGATAAAAAAGTAGAACAACAAATCAATGTTTGTTTCTTTCTCTCTCTCCACCCCCAAATCAATAAATTAATTTCTCAAAATTAAGAGAAAAGCTAGTCAATGCCTATGTCCAAACTCACCAAGATGTTTACATTAAATGTGTGCAATTTTGGGGTATATCAGCTCTATCTCAGTAGAACTTTAAAAATTAAAAATAAAAATAGCTGGTCCATACTTACCTTTCCCACTTTCCTTTCCCTGAAATGAAATTAGAAAATTACAGCAATTACTAATCTCATCATGTGTCGAGGCAGCCTTTGACTTTCCCTGAAAGCAGCGCCCACCATCCCAACCTTGACGCCTTCACATTGGCTCTTCCTTCGGCTCAAGCGCCAGGCACTCGCTCCTCTGACCCCCTCCAGTGTCCACTTGGAAAGAGTGTCTTCATTTCTCCATGCTTTGCCATCAGTGGAATTTTCTGTGGCCTCACCCCTGACCCAGTCCAAATGCAGCTCGCTCCCTCTCTGTCTCTCTCTGGGTTTCTGTAGCACTTGGCTGGTCCCTCTCATCTAAACTTAAGCCCTCTTTTAAGACATGACAAGGCAATATGCATCCCTGAATTGGCAGGCCCACCACCGTGTTCAATGAACATCGAGTAAATTAGAGTGACTGGGGTTTAGTTTTAGAGTGGGCATCGGAAAGGGAGAGATTTAGATGTTATTCTGCAGCGGGGGTTAGGGTGGATAGAATCTGTGAGGAAAAGTGAAGCTGAAATTCCAACCTGGACCATGGGAGCAAGAACTAGGGGGGACAAGCCTTCACCTGTTTCTTTATTAAGAAAGTTTTCTCTGCTTAGTAAATTCCTGGAGACACCGGACTCAAGTCTCAGTGGGTGGGGGCGAAATGGAAGAGGTGACGGGGAAAGGAGTCTTGTTAGAGCAGAGAAACATTAACAGTGTTGTGCCCTGTGATCATATGCCCGGGTGCCCAGCACAGCCCAGTGTCGACCTGCTGACCCTCTGTAACTTCCACTTGGAAAGTGTCCCGATGTGGAAGACAAGTCAGAGTCCTCCTAGTTATGGGGCGGGGTGGGGGGCAGACATCTACACGGAAATCGATATAAATTAATATCTACTAAGCTCTAAAATGCTTATCTTTCATGGTCTGTTGTTGTTGTTAGAATGTCCCTCTGTAAGAATGCTTTTACTTTTGGCCAAGGCTCTAGAAGTTTAGAACTTGATTGCAAATGGATTTAAAATCTCAGGAGTAGGCAAATCTGAAAACAGAATCTGACACTTCAAAGCTGCACTGTGCCAGAGGGTATTCTGGAAAGTGCCTACTAGCTGTGGGCACCTACGTTTCCCATAATGGGGGCCAGGCCGGACCATCACAGGGCACAACCACAGGAGGAGCTGTTAGCATCTCACACATGCGAGCGGCAGCCCTGAGCTACGAAGGGAATAACCCGCTGGGTGTTAAGCAGCTACTCTGGAAGAGGAGCCCCCGTGGTCAGGGTCCTGATGTCCCAGGAAGTCACCTAGACTTCTCTGTCCTCCCCTACGGTCACTCCCTATGTCCACAATGCCCACCACATCCCGGGTCAAAGCTCCGTCTTTACAGTAGTCAGGGCACATCCCTGCAAGCCCCACGTGGTACCTCAGATATTCCGGCAGGTGGAGTTTGTCGGCCTTGGTGACCACCAGGGCCACATCCCTGCAGAAACCCCGCTGGCAGGCTTTGATGCTCTCACTCAGAAGGTCTTCGTGGGCTCTCCCTCCAGAAACTCTCTCGATGTCGCTGATCACCCAGATCACTGAGCACTTGTCGATGGTCTGTGAAGCACGACCACATCATGTCAAGAACATAAACAGAGTCTCAGTTGTAGAGGACAGGATTCCTTCATGCGTCACGTGCTCTGCACTCAGCCCGTCTCTCTCCCCACCCCGCTCTCACCGCACTCTCCCTGCTCCCCCAGCCACACCGAGCCCCTTGCATGTTCTCAGCTGTAACTTGCTCTGTCATCTCTCAGGACCTTTGCACTTGCCACAATCTCTGCTTGACCTCCACTTGCCCTTGGAGACTCTGCTAAGGGCCAGTCAAGGGTGGGTTGGCCACCTCTCTGCTGCACCCTATAGCATCTGGACTTCCCTGCCATAGTACCTCTTAGACAGAGTGATCACACAGGGTTGGCTCTCTGCACCTTCCCTGATCCAGACTGTGCAGTTCCTGAGGGGAAGGGGCTCCACCATTCAGCTTGGAATCCAAGCACAGTGTGCAGCCATAGCGGAAGCTTCCTAGATGTTTGTGGCATTAGCGATGGATAGAATTCAAGAAGTCAGACCCTAAGTATCAGATCCATCACTGGCTTGCTTTGCCCCACTTGTCCGTTAGGGGAAATTATTGTTTTGTCCACAGTGAATTCTGGTCATGAATCTACTCCAAAACTGTCATCACAGGGCATCATTGCAATGTCTGACTGTGCCTGCATATTCAGCACCCTGCCACCATGGGGCAGCAGGGAGCCGGGAACCATGGGATTCAAATCGCAAAGGTCAATGAATATGAAATTACGACTTACGATTAACAGTACAAATACTGCTTTATAAAATCAGCAACTTCCATGTGGCATTTCTCTTGCTGTATTGTTCCACTATCTTATCTCTCCCTATAAATGAAAAAACTGACCCAACTCAGGGGTGAAGTTTATTTGTGGTTCCTCAGAACAGCTCTGTGCACATAAAGGGGTGACCAGCTTGTGACCTGCTAATGAAATCAGTATTTTGCTTTATGCCAGGTGTTTAACTAGTGAGGATTTTCTACCTCAGAGGACATCCGGCGATGTCTGGGTACATTTCTCAATTGTTATGACTTGGGGGGCACTAGAGGGTAGAGGCCAGGAGGCTGCCAAACACCCTGCAATGCCCGGGTCAGCCCCCACAACAGAATTTTCTGCCCACATGTCAATAGTGCCGAGGCTGAGAAACCCTGGCCTCGAACAGTGGGTTTCGAACTTGTTTTTAGCAGTGGAAACTTTTTCTAATGAAATCTTATGAAGAATTCCAGTTGCCAGACTTGATCTTTAAAAGTAGAACTGCACTAGTGGATTTGGGGGTTGAGGATTTGGAGCCCCAACCTGCTCGGAGCCACCACCAACCCCCCACCTTCCATCCATGAGTCTCTTGGTTTCATGGATCATTGTTCTGAGACCATCAGTTTCTAGAGTCGGACAAATGTGACTGTTTTTAGAGAAGGTCGCGGGCCCTGCCAGGCACAGGGCCAGGTTAAGGACACGCGGCCATGGGTCTGAATCTCCTCCCTGTGTGGGTGAACTCACATTTAGGCAGAAAAAATTAAACCTTTGCTCCCTCCCACTTTCCAAATTATAATCGACTTAAGCTTCAGGCTATTCAGTGAGGTTGGGGAAGATCATCGGTTGTCAGCCTGCAAGCTCTTCAGTGGCAGGTCTCTGTTGCCTTTGTACTGTGAAACTTAGTAACGAAATAACAAAAACTCATTTGAAATGGAGTCTGGAGGGTAGAAGAGAGAACTCTCACACATTCAACACCCACTACTGACCTCAACAGAAAATCACAGGCGCTGCCCCTCCAACAGGAAGTGACACTACTACCTCCGCAGGAAGAAGAGTCCCCATTGCCCAGTAACAGCCCAGCCAATGGCAGACTGCCATAACTCAGCCAATAGAAAGTCATTCTGCTTTGAACTTTCAGTTTCCTCCAATGGATGCTTCCTTGACAACAGCCCCTCCCAAGTCCATAAAAGACCATCCCTCTCCTTTGTTTCTCTGGACTCCATCAAGTTCACCATTAGATGGTACTCCTTGAATTGCAGTTCCGTATTGTTCTCAAATCAACCAATTTTGCTGGGAAAATATCTGGGTATTTGTTAAAGATCAACAGTATTCCCCATGGCCCTGGTAAACTATAGGGGCTTAATACATGTCTATTAACATGAGAAGAGAATGGCAATCATAAAGGCTGCTGCAATAAAATTTCAGGCCCTACACATTGCCCCTAATTGCCAGGATCTGGTAAAGTTAGAATTGAAGATACCAAAAAGCTTGTCTACAGGCCAAGAGTGACCGGACTTGGGAGTAGGTGGAATGACACCTCTGCCACCCCCATCTCCCTCCTTTTCTGAGTTGACAATAGCCCTCAGAGAGGTCAGGTGACATGGCTAGAGTCTCAGGACTTCTAGGTGGCTAAACAGGGAGGTCTGGGTTCATCATTGTTTTGGTTTAGGGGAGGCCAAGACAGCAGCTAGAGAAATGGGGCAGGGGTGTCGGCTCTGTTCTCCCTGGAAAGAAGGAAGTCTTCAGTAACTTCTTGTGAGAGGAGATCGCAAAACCACAAAAATGCAGGGGAGCCAAGGCCAAGCAGAGCATGCTGGTAACCATCCTTTCACTTAAGCTCGACCTCTTGAGAGTCAGTGTTCGGAGCCAGATCTGCTGGCTCCGCTACTCTGAGTGGCCTTTGATAAGCTGCCCAGCATATCTGAACTGGCAGCGACCACGGCTCCATCCAGTGAGGGAGGCTGGCTGCCTCCCTTAGGCTGTCGCTCCCTGGGGCTGCCTGGAACTCTCCAAGGCCGGCAGTTCTACTCCAAGCGCTGAGACCCTGCAGAAACAAAGGTTCTCATGGCCAGACCTGAGCTGACTGATCAAGAAGGGGGCTGCCTTCTTCCTAAAGAAACTGTTAAGGGACATCCTCAGAGGGTGATAGACAAATTTGTACCTCAGCTGGTATAAATACTCTACTCTCTGGTTCAAATTCTGCCACTCAACAGCTGTGTGGTCTTGGGCAAATGACCTCCCTCTCTAAGCCTTCATTTCTTCCTCTGTCAAATCAGGGCATAGGTTGATGCTCTGTGAGGTGCCATCCTGTTCCTTTCATCAGGATCTTGACTAGAAACGAGTCACAGAGCTCCCCAGCCCACGGTCCCACAGCTGCCGCACTACTCCTGACTCACTGATGTGGGTGCTCCCTCCCAGTCCCCCTGCGGCTCTGGTCCTGCGTCCCTTGTGCTCCCACCCTATGCTCCCGAGCTCCTTCTGCCTAAAGATGCCCTTTCTTCCTCTATCGCACACCCCAGTCCCTCTTGTCCTTTGAGCTTCCCTAGGAAACAGGGTATTAAAGCCCACCCCCAACACTTCCAGGCTGATCTTCTGCACCTCTCCCTACACCCCCACACCCCCTTCCCTCCAGCCACCCAGGCAGACTCACCCTTCCCCCAACACCCAGCTCCCACAGCCCACTGGCTCTGTCCTCAGTGGTCCCGTTTCCAGTTGCCTTCTCTGCCTGGTGGAGGCTGAGCTTCACCGTCCTCTCTGAACCCTCACCTCCTCCAAAATGAAATGATCACGTTGAGCTCTCATTTTAAGTGATCGGTTTGTTCATTAATAGGACTAATCGACCCCCTTCTGAACTATGAGACTCCCAAGGACAAGGGCTTTGTCTCTGTTCATCCTGAATCTACTACAAAATTAATGTTCAGTGGGTATTTGCTGAAGAAATAAAAGTGCAAATCAGAGGTAATTTCTACTTTTCCGTGCTCACAGCACCTTGAACCCCCTATTACATGACTTTCTGCCATGTATTTAGCCACCTGTGCTTCCCTCCGGTTAGATAATTAGCCCTCTGTGGGAAAGGTCTACTTCTCATTCAACACTGTCTTATTTGGGTTTCTACTTCCTAGTGTAAAGGTCACACATGTTCATACAAAATATACAAGCAGTACAGAGGTGTATGTAGTTAAGAGTGGTGGTAAACACAGAAACTGCTGCTAACTGTTGGGTGTGTCTCCTCCCAGAAGGCAGGATCTCACTTTTGCTGGGCGTTTTTAAACATCACACACACACACACACACACACACACACACACACACACACACACTTCTTAGAGGTCATGCTCTGCCTCTCTTCATTCACTGCCAACTTGGCTGGGTTAAAATCCTCTGTGTTATAAAGGACAACTTACTTCATTGAGAATAGTATCTGGTACAAAGTAAATGCTCAGTAAATATCTGCTATTATTATTATCATCTATAATCTTTGTACCCTCAGTGCTTAGTAATTGTTATATATTATATGTGTTTGATGAATGAAAAGCAAATGAACATATAAAGAGATAAATTCTTTAAAATTTCAGTGTCCAGGTGCAGATTAAATTACTCTAATGCTTAAGTCTGGTGTAGACATATCTGGGGGTTCCTGGTCAGCTCAGACCCCACTTGTTGGGGACTGAACCCCTATCAAGACTTTGGTTGAATAGGTGGACTTTCATTTCAACCACCACCAGCACCCACAGCTAATTGCACTGGGGCCGGATATGTAATCCAGAGAGAGCAATAATCGATTACATTTTTCCTTCTTGGGAATTTAAACCGAAACAGAGATGATAGTCAGACGGTCATGGGCGCAGGGACTAAATAATGTCACTTAGAGAAAGGGCTAGGGTGGTCGTTTTCCACAACGTGGACCCTGATGGCTAAGTAGAGACATCTGAGAGAGAAGCCAGACTCTCGTGAGAATTGCACGAAGACAAACAGCCACAAGAGACCAAGAAGAGGATGAGAAGAATACAGCTGCTCCCATCCTAGAGGTGGGAGCAGGCCAGGTCTCAGGAGATGCTTCGATAGCCCTTCCATCAGCTGCCCTTCCCTGGGGGTTGCTTTCTTGAGTTTCCGCTCCTAACGACCAAACACAGCAGCCGCCTCCTGGTTCCTTGGAGCCTGGCTGTCGGCTTCTCTGACTTACGCCCAACCCCTGGCCTTCCTCCCCGACTCCGTCCTTGTTCCCTCTGCTTACTCTGACGCCACTCTCCTGCTGACCCTGTTGTACACCTTCCTGTTCCAGCCACCAGGCCCACCTCATGATTCCTGACGCACCCGCTCCTCTGGCTGCCCATACCCAGCTGTGTTGCCCTAAGGCTCAGGACACAGAAAGGGGAAAAATTTAACTCCAGTGAACTCATAAAATTCCTTCAGCTGAAAGCAGAGAATTCTTTGATGCTTTAGAAAGGGTAGAGGAATTGAGGGAAGTGGGAGCACAGCCATAGGAAAGAGAATCACCTTTTTCCACATCTCATCCCTCTTGCTGTTGAAGTCACCAGTGCCTGGAATGTCCACCAGCACAACCCCTTCTGGAATCAGCTCTGACTTGGAAAGAGTCACTTCCACGTGTTTGATCAGGGGCCAGATATGTGTCTCAGCTGATTCTCCATCCCAGTCTCTCCTCTTAGTCCGGATGTAGGGGTCCAGCTTGACAGACAGCTCTCCTGCCTGAGGAAGGAGGGCAAAGTCACACGCAGCAGCCGCTCTCCCAGCATTTCCCCCCACCCCCAACGGGCTGTGACTCAGGTGCATCGAAAGCACACTGAGTAATGGTAAGAAGCAGCCAGTCAACAGGGCCTAGACTCCGAGAACCAGATGGACCTTAAGATGAAGTAACTAGTCACTAGTCAGCTAGAATGGGACTACAGGACAAGTTATAGCTTCACTGGATGATGGTATCTCCTAAATTCCGTTTCGGTTTTAATAGTAATGTAATTAATATGCGATTCCCTAAATTTTGGAGAGAGAGGATTCTTCTGGCATGGCTAATATGAATATTATAATTAGAGAGGTCATACTGCAGAAAATTGATAGTAATGTGGTGACCATAATTTCTGCATTAAAAATTTACCTGAATACGATCTTTAAAAGGTTCTTAAAATTTATCTTTCAAGTACAAAAAAATCTTGATATGTAGGCATTTCTAGGATGTTTGAAGGTGGTAGGTGGGATGGGGAATTGCTCTCATCCTATTGGTTCTACCTAAACATCTCTTGGGACAACGACACATTCCTTCCAGCAACTGTGTGTGGCAGCAAATTTCTAATACTAGGCTACTTCCGATGACAGGAGATTTGGGATGTACAGTGGCCATTGTTCCTAAATATCTATAGACTGGTCCTAGAAGGGAGATAAGGAAGGACATTCTTAAAAGAGTTGAGATCAGATCCGGGGACTGTTGCAGTCTGGGTAGGGAGTGGCTGATTTCACCCATTCTAATCCAATAACAGGAAATTGTGAAAGAGGAGATGATAAAAGTTCAAGATATTTTATTTAAAAAATAAGGTAGACACAATAAGGCCTACATTTTAAAGAATCATGGACTTGGCAAGTCTCTTGCTAGAAGAAGAGGGCTCGACCCAATGAACTGGCCTAGAGCAAACCATTCTGGGAGGCGAGCTCAGGTTCCCTCAGGCCAGTCTGGAGTCCCTGCCTCCACCCCACTGCGAATCTGTGCCCTCTCACTCACTGGAAGGGTCTTCCTGTTCCCTTGTTTCAATGGGCAAATTTGCATCTCTGGGAAGGAATAGTTCTAAATACAGAGTAGCTAAGAAATAAATATCGTATTGACACTTTAGCGTAAGTTGTATGTACACTCAGATAAAGTAACCAGTTTTAAAATCATTGTGTTTCTTTCGACAGGCTCATTCTATGGTTTAGATATTAAGAACATAATTATTTATAATAGTAACATTCATTTAAATATAAGGAATGGCTACTATATGTTTTTGATTTCCTAGATAAACAGAAGCTAAGTGCCTTAAAAAGTTTCATCCATTTGATTCCTAAGTGTGCCTTTATTTTTTCAGTTTAAATTTTTTTGAAAGAATTGAATATATTAAATTTGAACTATAATATAAAAACTCTAAGGAAATTTGACTAATTATGTTAAGCAGCATTAACTATTTAAGGAGGATTCACTATGTTAAACTTAGGAGATAACTGAACACTAAATTCTAGAACAAGCGTAATTATTATTATTTCATTTTTAAAAGTCAGATTTCAAAATAGAATAACAATATTTTAAAGATGAACTTTAAGATGCAAGAAAGACTAGGGTTTTCAATGGACAACTTTTATAAATGAAATATTTGTTCTACCAGTATTTTGGTTTCACTTAAAATTGAATTTTAATTTAACAGAGTTAGCATTGATTACCAGTATAATATTATCTGTTAATCATGCACCTAATTCCCATCCTGTCCTTCACCCATGGGACAAGAATCCCGACTATTTGTGGAGGCAGTGGATTGAGGTTGGTCCGAGCCCATCGTGTGGAGCCTGCTTCTTGCTTTCTCTATTAAACAGTCTCCCTTTCAGCTAGGAAACACCATGCGAATCAGCTCTGAACAAGGAAATCTACACAGAAATGTACTGGGGGTGCTTCTGGGAAAGCTTTCACTGTCCAGTGAAAGGGGAGCTGCGGAAAGCGCCACCGCTTTGCCCATCGCCTCCTGCCTTGAAGCGAGGTCTGAGGTCTCGCACCTCAGCAGTGGTCTCATGACTGTGAGACAACCAGAGCAGTGTGACAGAGGCCAGAGGAACCAGACGGACACCCAGCTCGAGGATGCTGAACCCCGGCACCGCCCCACAAAGCCAACTGCTTCCAGACTTCTCACGTGAGAAAATAAATAAGTCCCCGTTTGTGTAAGCCATTATGAGTCGGGTTTCTTTTTTTTTTTATCATTTACTGCCAAAAGCATCCTTAACTATTACTCAAGTAAGTATAAATAGTCCTTCCTATGCACAAAAGCTCCCTCATTAAGATGCTAAAAATTCCCATTTGACAGCTGTAAATAATGAACAATAATTCAGTCATGGGTACTTCTGATTTTGGAATCAACTTATTTCAAATATAAAACACCACACCTTGAGCAAATCCTCCAAATGGATTCAACCGTTGTACTTAAGACTCATGATACATAACGAAGAACATCTTGAGGTTACCTCTTCTGCCTTGAGGGTGATGATTCTGGAGGTGGGAATCCTTCCTTTGGGCTTTGCCCGTAGTAACTCCTCATAGCTCTTCCTTTCTGCCCCATCTCCATAAAGCATTCGCAGCTTCCAGATGGCTTCCTCCACCGCGTCGTCCCTGTCCCACTCGTCTGCCTCTTCCCTGCCCAGCTCCTCTGTTCTGTGCAGGAGTTTGGTCAAGTTCTTCAGCTCCTCCTTCCACTCCTGCCAAGGCAGAGCAGGGCCACGCCCCCTCGTGACACAGCTGGAAACATCGCTGACAGAGGGAGGAGGCCATTGTCGTTGTGCGGGGCAGGGGTGCTGCATACTTGGGAAATCTAAGATCCTTTAACCCAGCAAGGGTTGTCTAACCCCGCCCCCCTGTTTCACTGGTGAGGAGACAGGGGCTCAGGGAGGTCCACGGACTTCCCCCAAAGTCCCACAATGGACTGTGACAGGACCCAGGTTAGAACCCCCGTCTGGCTCTATGGAACGTTCACACTACGTTCTTTCCCTTCAACAAAGGCATGAGCCATATTTACAGAAAATATAATGTTAATTTCTAGGAGAGAGGGAGAAGGAAAGAAGAAAGAGGGAGGGAGGGAGGGAGACACTTACCTGGTCAGACAGAAGGTGGATTTTGGCCTCGTACTGCTCGCAGCAGCCTGAGCTCACTTGGACAACACAAGACGTGCATATACTTTCTCCAGACACCGGCAGGAACATGGCTTGCTGGATGATGGCATTGATTAGGGAGCTCTTCCCGGCCCCGGTGCTTCCAAATAATCCAATGTAGATTGGGTCCAATGGCGGTTTTTCAATTAAAGTGAGAAGCCTGTTCCTAGATCAGTTTTTAAATGCACATTGCCATGGTCATCAAAACACAGTGGGAAGAACATCAGACTGGAACACAAAGGACCTGAGTTCTAACCCCGGGAGAGTCACCACCCCCGAGCCTCTGCCCTAGGTTTGGTCAAAGAGGAACATTAATAATCCCTGTTTACCATACCGAGGTGTCATAGGGATCAAAGGAGATTATGCAAAAGTACTTGGTAATTCTACTCATAAATAATGATAATTCTATGCAAACTGTAGCTGGGAAGCACCCTTCTTTGTGTTCCGTGGAAATCACACAGTTTCGACCCTAGAAGTAAAGTTCACACAGACGTAAAAAACGACGAGGAGCAACACTGAGCAGGAAGCGCAGCCGAGACGCCACTCAAGCCCCTCAGGTGAGCTCAGCACAGCAGCCCAGGCAGCTGAGTCTCTCTACCTGGGACGGTTCCAGGGCCTTTGATTGACTGACTGGCCAGCGGTGTGACTTTGGTCAACGTCTGGGCCTCCCTGAGCCTCAGTTTCAGTGAAATGGGGTGATAATATTGTAATAGCTTCCACTCTGTAGGGGTATTGGGACCCTCACATGAAATCAGATCACCTGGCAACAGTGACAGCTCGACCAACCGAACGAGCAGTAATATGAGCGATGGCCTGTAGCTGTGCACACTTTCGGCTTTCTTGCTTAGCTTCTAATCGAAAATTTCCTTGTGTTGTTGGACAGAAGCACCTACAGTCACCTAAGGGAACTGGGGTTGGATGGCAGTCGGTGTCAGACTCACACGAGGTACTTGACTCCGTTCGGGATGCTGTCATCCAGGAACACAGACTGAATGAGTTTCTGGTATGTGTTGCTCAAAACCCTTCTGGTCCGCGACTCCAGTTTTTCATCTGGAACCAACAGAGGTCTATTAGCTGGGATGGACCTGACCGGGTTCAAGTACTACATCTCCCCAGGAAGAGTCTGCTCAGCATTACAGGAAGAGGGAGAAAAAAAGGAAATGAAGTGAAACACTAGTCAAACAACGTAGCTGGTCCTCTGACACCAGAGCCAGTGCCTGTGGGACACGGCAACCCCTGGCCGACTGCCCCTCAAGGAGCCCGCCTGCCCTGACGGCCGTGAGACAGGAGTCAGCACCGCCCAGCCATGGCCTTTGGTCCTTCTGGAGTCTTCTCTCCTGGGGCCATAAAAAGGAAAGAACGTGTCACCCGAAACTAATATAACATTGTGTAACAACTATACTTTAAACAAAAAAAAAGGAAGAAAAGGCAAGGGCATCACATAAATACCCATAAAGCACAAACTGACCCCTTTCAGTTTTTGCTTTAATGAGGAAGAGGTTATTTGGACAAAACCCTCTTCTCCAGAGAAGCCTAGAGATAAATTGTCAAATTATATCTCTGCAGAGACCGTGAGGCCTTCTTTTCTGGGACCGGATCATTTGAAGATGTCTCGTTCTGCTCCTGAACTTAACCTTCTCTTCCTTTGACCATTTGAACACATTTGGAACAGAACAGAGCCAGATTAAAAAAAAAAAAACAAAACAAAACAAATATATAACAGGTTCATAACACTCACATTCCTTAAGAGCACACTGTTCCACGGAGGGAAATGCTCGGAGCCGCTGGTCTCTGTCTGATCGTCTCCTTTTTTTCATCGGTTCTTTAAATAAGTCATCATCGACTAGAGGAAAACAGAGGTTACATCAAAGCACAGCTCCGGGGCCATGGCAGAGGTGCCTGATCTCTATCCACACAGAAGCCCACAGAGTCTCAGGGGCCCCTGCCAGCTCCGCGTGCCTGTGGGCTCGTTTCAGAGGCAGGCGCTGTTGGCCCGTTCCAGTCTGGTTCTACTTCCCAGGACTTTGCACTGAGTTCCACAATGCAGGGTCCAACTTATCTCCTCAGAAGAGATGTGAAAATGAAATGAAAACTTCCTGTTTGGAAGTACAGAGAAGCCAAAAGGGCTTGGTATTCTTCACCAAGTGCCAACAGAGAGAAGCCCAAGACGGGGCTGAGTGTGGAGTGAAGAAAGGCCTCTGGGAGGTCTTTTCAAATCAGGGAAGAAACCGATCGAGAGCCGAATGCAGGGCGAAGAACGGACCGCACGACTGGGGCAAACCATTTCTCTGCGAGCCTCAGTTTCTCTGTCTGCAAAATGAGAGGGCTGACAAAAAGTGCACGCAATGCAAGGTTTGGAGGATGCTCTACTCCTGGGGGCCCCTCGGAGATGAAATTTGGGGGATGCTTCCCCCTTCCTCACTGAAAGTCATCAACAGCTGCTTCCTTACATAGACAAGGAGAGAAATCACCAAGAAGCAGATCTTTGTAGTTCCGTAGAGATTTTTTCACTTCAGTGGTTTCCCTTGGTTATGAAGGAAATGGCTGGAAGGGCCCACACGCCTCGGGAAAAGGTGTAACCAAAACATTATGTTTTGGATTGGTTTTAGCAAACACCCCCACCCTGCAGCAGTTAGAAGAGTGTGAGGAGTAGGTCTGGTCCTGACCCAGTACTCCTGAGGCTGCCCTGAGCTTCGGAACTGGCTGTGAGATGAACAGGAAGATGAATCGATTCCCTGAGAGTCATAACACTCTTAAGGCCAAGAGGCCCCAAAACTGAGTGCGACCTTGGAGAGACCATCTTTCCTGAAGGACCACAGAGGAGAACCTTCACGTGGGGACCCAGGATGGCAACCCAAGCCCAAGGCCCAGCCTCCACCGCGGGCTCCAGACAGAAGCGTCCCACATAGCTCAGGCACCCTCCCCCCTCTGCTTGTCCTTGCGTCTCTGCTTGGCCTTGCGTCCCGGTGCAAATTCTGCAGGTCATGGGACCGGCTCGTGGCCCCAAGAGGGTTGCAGTGCAGAAGTACGGTGTTTGCCAAAGCCTGTGTCTCTGCCGACACAGCTCACGCAGTCAGGGCGTTGAAAGAGCTTGTACTTCAGACCCTTGTACCTCAGACATTCTAACTTCATGATTAAGCTCAACTCAAAGAATTCATCCTGGCTCAACCGAAGGACTGCATTGGAACTAAACACCAAGTGGCCGCTGGCTCAGTGGCTGGAGCTGGGAAGGAAGAGGCAAAGAAGAGAAGAACACGCCACTCGGGTCCGCAGGCCAGTGCAGAGTGGGTTCCAGGGTGTCCCTACAATCGGTCTGTGAAAAGGAAGCACACGGATGTCGGGCCTTGACCTGGACTCTGTAACGCAGGAACTGTCTTGTGTAAACCATGTTGGCACAGAATCTTAGCAATGTGTGTAACAAGAGGGACGGGTCCGTACCTGCCGACTTTCCTTCAACTTTATAAGCCCTGGCAATTAATCTGACAAAACACTGGAAGCTTATTATTACTCAACTAAAACAAAGGTGAAAGAGTCAAAACTGCAGGGTTTTAAACCTTTTCTTCAATTTCTAAAATGAAAAACCACCTGGAAAGGAGAGAGTATTCTATCTTTGATCTATACCATTGAAGGGAAGCATTTTTACATTAAATTGTAACTGAAATGCAGTGGCCTGAACTGGCACATCTCTTACTATTCCCTGTGACTGTCAAGCACTCCCCAGCCTTTCCAGCATTTCACAGTCATCTAGGGGAGGAGAGGGGGCGGGAGGGGGTGGGTGGGGGTGGGTGGGGGCGGGTGGGGGCCACCCACCCATAGAAAACTTTAGTCTGCTGTTGCTGGTGCTGGTGGTGCTGCTTCTTCTTGCTGCCACAAGATGTCACTTTTGAAAATGGATCCCAAACAGCCTGATCCCAGGATGTACCCACTCATTGTCCATCCAGACCTTTGCCAGGGACTGCCAGGGATCTTTCCAAGCAAAACAACTCCACTCCCTCAGTGCCAAGTTCAGCCACAGCACTGGTTGCAATTCTGATTTGCGTGCCCAGCCATGCCTTGGATGGTAGCCACTACCCGACTGACCCAGAAACAAAGCGTCCCTTGCTCCTAAAGCTCTTCAATTCTCAAAACACAAAGGATGTGATAGGCTGTTTTCTGCACCTCGAGGTTACTCCCCTCATCTTCCTAGGGAAGGCCCCTTCCTTGGCTCCAGGGACCCTGCACCCAGACCTGTAGGGGGTGCACCCTCACTGACTCCAGTGTGATTCACCCTACATCTCCCTTTGTGGAGAAAGCAACTGAAGTGATTCTTGACCCTTTTAAAGGGGAGAAGGTTCCCCAAATTTAATTGCTGGTCAGACAGTCCACTGCATTATGAATAGGCTAATTTAGTGGTTGGTGAATAATTTATTGTCACTCACAATTAAAAGGGATTATGAGAAAGCAGCTTCTGAATAAAGAGCATGGAACAGCGACTATAGTTAAACACAGTCTCAAACCCTTTGCCCCTGATCATATAGAGGTAAACAGTTCTATTTATTCATCAGAGGATGTTGCAGGGATGTTACCTGGGTGTGGCTCCAGACCCACCAAATACTCCATTTCTGCCACTTTCTGTTATGTAAACACCTGCTTTCATCCACTTGGGGAACCAGCCTAAAAATACATACAAAGTGGGGGGGGGGAGAGAACAGCAGAAATTATAAAATGAAAAAAGCAAAAAACCAAAATAACACAGAAATCTGCTTATACTTTGTTTCCCCAACTGGATTCCAAAGCCCAAAGGGCAATGACCATTCTAACTTATCTTTGAATTCCTCACAACACCTTATACGCTACATATTAATTTAAATATGACAAAAAATGATGCTTGACCATTGGTTTTCAATACTAGTTGTAGTCACAGAACTTTAAACTGATATGACCTTTCTATTCATCTTTAAGACAACTCATTCCATAATGAGAATGATCTCTAGTGACCAAAACTGTGGAAATGAGGTTATGTAGCTTCGCTGCTTTGGTGACAGCGGTGCCCCCATCAGGGAAGCCCTCAACCTCATGCCGGTGAAATGTAGTCCCAGCAAATCTGAGCAAGAGTCTGACAGATGGATGGAACCCTGGGTGCTCCCAGGGCTCCCTGGAGTTGCTTTGGGGTGCTACAGAGTGAGGAAGGAGAGGTATAGTAACTAGGGTCTCTGGATCTTCCCCAACACCCCACCCCCACTTCGACCAGAGAGACGCCCCCACCGGGAGCTGTGTGCAGCACCAGAGCATGGGGCGCCTGCAGCAGGGACAGGAGAGGCACATCTAAAAGGGGATGTGCCGGATCCAGCCCGGCTCCAGTCCACCAGCAAACACAGACGGTCTGGGCATGGAGGGAGAACAGGACCCACAAAGAGCGCAGGCCCAGCGGGGATCTGCGGTCCTGGACCTTCTTTGTCTTCACGCCTAGGGGAGAATTCAGGGAACGAAGTGGGGAGCGCTGAAAGTGCTCACTCCCCGTATCTGACGTTGCTATGTAGATCACTCAGCTGTGTGATTCACATGGGAGAGGCACCAGCCCTTCTGAAACATGCAAACCCTCACCTGGTCTGCCAACCCTCATTAGACCCGTAGGCAGTTAGGGAGGCTGTGCCTCGTTTACATATTAACCCCAAAGAAAGATCACAACTCATCATTGAAAGAGCCTCTTGCTGTTAGGTTTGCTGGTCGATATTAACTGAGCAAATGGTTTCTCTAGTTGGTGGCTGTTGTTGGAAGGGATGTGAAAACCCCTACTATGTGCCAGGTCCTGAGCCTCAGGTCCTTATCTCTCCATTCCTTATCTTGCACCCCCCACTCAGACCGCCCCAATTCCATACAGCTCTGCAAGGCAGGGTACCCTATGGAACTCCCCTGCATTTTCACACATGCCATTCCTGTTCTGTGGGGTACCCTTCCCCTCTCCTTCTTGGTGAATTCATACTCTTTCTTCAAGATCCTGTTTTAGCTTTTCCCCAGTGAAACTGTGTCCCAATTCTCTGTCATTCCCCTGGTGTGTCACAGTGCCCCGAGCACACCGCTGTGACAGTGCTTACTATGCTTATGTCTCTCCCTCTTTCGGAGCTGTGAGCTAGGCGAGGGCACGGCTGCATTTGCTTCAATGTTGCATTTCTATCATTAAATGCAATGACTGACAATAAATGCTGACTGAGTGGATGAAATAATGGGAAGCTTTCGATGAGAGTCTATGCCAAAGGATGTTTAGGAACCAAATTCCTTTTTGATGTGATTAGAGCCCTGACTTAAAGTGCACAACAGAAGAGGAACAAATAGGCAGGTGTGCAGATACAGTGACAGTAACAGTGAGTGCTATGATTGATGGAACTGGAAATGTTTAACTTGAAGAAAGGAAGACACAGACAAAAGCAAAAGATGTGGAAGGGATTCACAGTGGTCTTCAAAGATGTGACACTAAAGCTGCGTATAAAAGAGGTACAATGCACGTTTTCTACGGCCCCAAGGGGGAGGTCACTAGATCTCCCAGGTGGAAGGTACAAGGGAGCACATTTTGGCCTAACATTCTCTAATAGCAAGAGTTGTCCAAATTGGAATGATCTTCCTTAGAAAGGACTGAATTTTCTGCTTCTGGAAGAATGTGAACTTACGCTAGTTTGGACTGGAGGAATTTTAAGGCTACTTCAAATCCAAGAGTCTCTGTTCTTATCTGAAATGCTCACCAGTAAAGCTAGTAGTGGAAGCGCCACCCCGTGAAGTCACTCGAATTAATGAGACATGCAAGCAATCCCTCGTTTGAAATGCTGAGTTAGAATTGCTAAAACACATTAAAGCCTGAGTCAGGATGAAAAAGGGTAGATGAGGTATGATGTGCACAAAGTCATAGTGATGCCTATCAGTCACCTTCCGTGCAGAACTAAGAAGTACCTCCTGGGAAGAGACCCGTTGTTTGCTGAAGACAGGAGCTCAATGAGCCACAGTCAGGGAGATGTGAGGGTCACACCGTAGTGGGCATTGGGGACAAAACAAAATGTGTGGTCCTCCGGTGGAAGCACCCACCGCAGACCTCCGGGACCACTTGTGTTCCAACGGGGACGCTCCAGGAGAAACAGAGGAGTGGGGGGAGGCGCAGAAGAACTAACGAGTCGGCGTCACCACCACTCAAACACCGAGGCCGAGGAAGGCCCTTCCGTGGGACAGAGAAGTGGCTGCTGGGCAGAAGCACAGGAGTTCACCAAATTCACCAGACTCTGGAATGTGGGCAGCGGTCTGGGCTCCCTTCAGAATCTGAGGAGCTTCATTTAATCAGACTTTATGTACCAGATCCGCACACGCAACCGCCACCCCGCTGTCAGCATGGCTGTCAGCATGCGCCCGTCTGAGGTCAGATGGGATTTAGCCACACACAGTGGAGCCGCCAAGCCATGGACCTCCCACTGTCGCAGTGTCGGTGGTGCCCTCCGGTACTGAGCCATTTGACGTTCAAAAAAGTGTAAATTATTTGCACTGTGCTGGTGGTGAACTGGGCTTTAAATGACCCCTGCCAATGTTCAAAAACTGGCAGGAGTGGGACCATTTGATTGGCAAACTAAGACCCTGGAAAATGGAAAGGGATCGATCATTTACAAACAGGCTGAGGGGGCAACATGAAATGAAGGTAAGTACTGGGCCCTGAACAAGAACAACCTGTAAACAAAGACAGTCGTTAACAGGAAAGGGAATGTGGCGCAGACACTCAGAGCACAGTCATCGCGGTGACTAAGCAGGGCAGAACGGAGGGCAGGGCGCTGGAAGCCGGGGCAGTGCACGCAGTCAGGTTTGGCTTTACGCCGATCATCTCGTCACTCGGGACCTTCGCTTTCCCATCTGCGAATGAAAGATGAAACTAGTCCTTGAAGTGTGAAGGTCCTTTCGTTGGGCGCCAAAAAGATGAAAGTTCTTATTTTGAAATGACACCTATTGTTGAAACCAAGACTGTACCGATAATTAGGGCTCCTGTGTAATAAAAAATAGCACAGATGAGATGAATTGGATAGCACTCAGATGAATAGCACTGAGATGAGTGAATTTAGGTTTTGCTGTAAGGAGTAACTCATAGGTGCACAGTCCTTCTGCAAATCGTGTTGGAGTTCACTTTCCCCCAAAGAGAAGCAGTTAATGATGGTGTAACTTCGTGAAAGTTTGGTTTCTGTGGAGAAGCAATTAAAAACAGCCCATATGGGGAGACTTCCGCCAAGATGGAGGCATAGGTGGAAACACTATACCTTCTCGCACAACCAAGTTTAAAGACAACAAAATTTTAGTAACAGAAAATGCAGCTAAAACACAGAAAATTGAACTATTTGGAAGTCTGACAACAATGAATTCTTCAGCCAGATCGGTGGTAAGAGGGGCGAAGCCAGAAGCTGGCAGAGCGTGGTTGCACAGGAAAACTCGGCCAGACCGACCCAGGCGCGCAACGGGTGGCAGTTGGGGATCCTAGGCGTGGGGTTGCAATGGGCAGACCCAGTGAGGGCACAAGGCGGAAGACTGACCACGGTCACACAGTCACGCACAGATAAACCAGCAAAGGAGCGAGCAGTGAGACTGACCGCGCAGGCCCCAGCGGCAGGAAGCAGAAGAGGGGACCGCTATTGCCCCTCTCTGACCCTGCCCCCACATACAGCATCATAACCCAGCGACCTGGGCGGCCCCACCCTGGTGAACATCTAAGGCTCTGCTCCTCATACTTAATGGGCGAGAACAGACCAAAAATGGCTCAGGAAGAACTCAGAGCCCCAGAGCCCATAACTCTAAGCGACGAAGAAATAGCAAAACTCTCAGATGCACAGTTCAAAACACTGGTGATCAGGATGCTCACAGAACTGGTTGATTTTAGTCACAAATTAGAGGAACATATGAAGGCTAAACTAATTGAAATGAATGGAAATGCACAGCAAACCAATAGTGATGGAAAGGAAACTGGGATTCAAATCAAGGGAGTGGACTAGAAGGAAGAAAAAAATGACCAAACAGAAAAAATATGAAGAAACAAGAATTCGAAAAGGAGGGGAGACTTAGGAACCTCCAGGACATCTTTAAACATTCCAACATCCGAATTATAGGGGTACCAGAAGGGGAAGAGGAACAGCCACAAGTAGAAAACTTATTTGAACAAATAATACAGGAGAACTTCCCCAATCTGGCAAAGGAAATAGACTTCCAGGAAGTCCAGGAAGCTCAGAGAGTCCCAAAGAAGTTGGGCCCAAGAAGGAACACACCAAGGCACATCATCATTACATTAGCCAAGATTAAAATGAAGGAGAGAATCCTAGAAGCAGCAAGAGATAAGGGGACAGTCACCTGCAAAGGAGTTCCCATCAGACTGTCAGTGGATTTCTCAAAAGAGACCTTACAGGCAAGAAGGGGCTGGAAAGAGGTATTCCAAGTCATGAAATCCAAGATTGCTCTATCCAGCAAAGCTTTCATTTAGAATGGAATGGCAGATAGAGTGCTTCTCAGATAAGGTCAAATTCAAGGAGTTCATTATCACCAAGTCTTTATTATATGAAATGTTAAAGGGACTTGCCTAAGAAAAAGAAGATAAAAAAGATGAACAGTGAAAGGACAGCAAACTCACAGTTATTAAGAACCACACCTAAAACAAAAGCAAACTAAGAGGACAGCTAGATCAGGAGTAGAACCATAGAAATGAAGATCACATGGAGGGTTAGCAACAGGGGAGTGGGAGGAGGAGAAGGGGGGAGAAGGTACAGAAAATAAGTAGCATAGACAGTAGGTAGAAAATAGATAGGGGGAGGGTAAGAATAGTATGGGAAATATAGAATCTAAAGAACTTGAGACATGTGGTCATAAACTAAAGTGGGGGAATGGTGGGGGAGGGGTGTGCAGGGTGGAGGGGAATGAAGGGGGGAAATAGAACAACTGTAATGGCATAATAATTTTTTTTTAATTTAAAAAAGAGAAAAAAACAGCCCATATGTATGGGTCACATAGGCACGGTTTTCATCTGTGGTTTCACTTGTATTTGAACTATGTGGTTAGCACTTAAGCTTTGCTGTTAGTACTCATTTAAATTCATGTGCACCTCAGCCTAAGAATAGACTTTTAAATGAGACTCTGTGCATATTTAGCTCAATATGGGAAGGTTGCACAGAGCCAGCTTCCTGCTAAATAATTATGACTTTTGACAGTTATTCATGCCTCTCCCACTCTGTCTTTTGTTTATGTTTGCTTATGGTCATTTTCTTAAAATAACGTAACAGAGGTGACACACGGGCGGTAGTTACTCCCACATGAGCACAGAAAACAGCCTCGCATAGTGGAATTACACCAAGAACACTTTGCTGCCCCTTCCCGTATGGATAGGGACACTGAGGCCCCAAGAGGGGAAAGAACTGGCCCAAGGCCACGGAGGGATCCCAAGTGCAGTGCTCTCTCCACTCCGTCAAGCAGCCTCTAATAGGTGCTATTTAAACAAGGCCTCTGGAGCTCGAGTGGGACAGTGGAGGGGACAGTGTCTACAGATGAGGGGCTTCTTCAAATGTATGACAGAAGCATGTGGGGAATGAAGGCTGTTGAATAGACAGGAGCAGAGCAACTTGACAGAATTGTACTTAGAGACTTAAACTGAAGCTGCTGCCCGAAAATTCTTCAGAGCCTTCAGAGGTAAACCAAGCCAGTGTGTGTGTGTGTGTGTGTGTGTGTGTGTGTGTGTGTGTGTGTGTGGGGGCTGAATATCACACTGCCACTGCATCTGTTCTGTGTCTGATGCAGAATCGAGTGTGGTTAGTAAGAATTACCGACATCCTTCAGTCAGGATCTCATCTCTCCCTCCCTTGCCTCACAGCATCGACTCCTCCTGGCACTATTCTCGCTTTCCTTTCACTTCCATTCACCCCTACCCCAAGGCAGCACTAAGAGGGAAAAAAATCAAAATGCTTAAATTAGCTAAATTCTTCAAGGGGCATTTTGATCAACTTTGGTTTACTGCCTATTTTTAATAAATGTGAGAAGTGCTAGGTACATAGTAAGCACTGAATAAATATCTGTTGAATGAATGATATGTATCTTTAAAATGTCTTAGATGATAAGATCAATAATGGCAGAAATGGTATTCATTCATTCATTCATTCATTCATCCAATAAACACTTACTGAGGGTCTCTGTGTACCAGGCACTGGCCTAGATGCTGGAAACACGTCAGGGAACAAAATGGCCAGTTGTGTGGACACGCAGGACTTACACTCCAGGTAGTGAGTGGCACAGGGAAAGTTATTCCTAATTTGGAGTCAGAAGGCCTGGATTTGAGGATCCTGCTCCAGTACTCAGTACAACACTGAACCAGTATCTGACCTCTCTGAGCCTCAGTTTATTCTCATATGGAAAGAGAGTATAAAAATACCTATATCCAGAGTTCCTTGTGAAGCTTAAATATAGTATTTCACACAAAGTTGCTCTATAAACACTTAAGCGTCTGTACAAATGTTATTTACTTTCAGAATATTTGGTGAAGACAATTAAACTAAAAATCAGGACTATTATTTACCTCAACCAAGTCTATCTCCTGTGGGGGGACAGATGCCACTCTAACTGATGAACTGACTCTCACTCTTGTCTCCAGGGACCAATCACCTTGAGGCTTCTACCCCGATTTCCTTTAAGAGTCTTTGGTAAAGCCTCATCCCCTTCCATGGAAAGGTGACTGAATGAAATAAAGAAAAGGGGGAGATTCTTAATAAAATGGTGAAATGTTGATGACATCTGGGATTTATTTCCTTTTCTTAAGGTTTCAGTAGCTTTGGTGTTGGCAACATTTTCTAACGACCCTATTGGGTATTGCATTGCTTTTTAGACTAGTAAGTCCCAAAGGAGTGATTTAAATACACAAGCTTAGAAGCAAAAGTGAAACAAGGGCCTTCCACCCCCCTCTCCCCCAGGGAAAGAGTTCTATTTTCACCATGGACACGTCAGCTGAACTGTGCAACAGCAGAAGCGCAGCTGCCAGAGGCAGATACGTTACAGGAGGCACTGGAGTGACATGACTTTCTATGTCCCTCTCCCCCAGGTGAACAGATAAGTAAAATAAGCAGATGTTTTCATAACGTTCTTTATCCGAATTTGAATCCTCTCACATTGCTCCCGCCGAGCCCGCTGAAGTTAATGGAGCGTAGGATGACATTAACGCTGCCCCCGGGATGCCTGCAACCTGTGTTTTCTTTGGAGAGGAATGATCCCCAACTTTGCCTAAGATCATCTTATTAAGTACAATTCAAACTCAACCCTGACTTTTAGTTCACTGGCCTTTATACAACCTTAAATTTACTTAAGCAAACGAGAAAGTAGAATTCACTTTCCCTCAAGAACTGATTTATTTTGCGAAAACCAAGAGAGGGAGAAGAAACAAACTTACACACACACACACACCACACACAAATTTTGCGGGCTGTGCAGAGAGGTTGCCTTCCAAAGAAGGCAGCGTGGAAAGGAAGAGAACGAGCAACCTTAACCGTGGAGAAACCTGACAAACACTTGCCCCAGCCAAGGGAGCAAGGTCAACATCAACAGTCCTAAGTCGTGTACATAGCGTGCACTTTTGATGAGATGTGACGAGAATGGCACTTTAATTCTACCTCCCCTAAACCCCTAACTCTAGTTTAGTCACGGGGAATTAACTGCATTCTGCAAACAGAATATCTGATCTGTGCGCCTCCAAACCTGACCAGCACTCTTCAGAACTGTCAAGGTCACCAAAAACAAAGGAAGTCCCAGAAACTGTCACAGCCCAGAGGAGCCTAAGGAGATATGACAAGCATAGGTGATGGGATATCCTGGATGGGATTCTAGAACATCCAAAGGACAGTGAATAAAAACTATGACAATCTGAATAAAGCAGAGCCTTTAGTTAATAACAATGTTATAAATATTGGTTCATTCATTGTAACCAATACTAACATAAGGTAAGAGAGGAAACTGGATGTAGGTTACACGGGGACTCTCTGTACTGTTGTCTCAATTTTTCTGTAAGTCTAAAGTCAACTTTTAAAAAAACCAACCATAAGTTACAGCATAAATGACACAAAAGGAACAACTTACCAGACGTCACTTTCTCTGCTTGGGCTGCAGGAATCCACAGTGGAGCCAGCGGCAGTTTCCCTGCCTTAGCACAGAACCTGTGGGACCGGCTGCGGTAGGCAGCCCTTTGTGGCCACGGTCACAAACTTCACATTTACACAAGCGGAAGTGAAACTGATTTGCCATCAGAGCGCTATTTACAAACAACCTCCTTCCTCAGAAATTGAATCGTGCTACTTCCCCCCTTTCATTTAAATTAATCAGTGTGTGAATTGGGGATCTTACAGTCTTCTCTTACCTATTCCTACAAGCAGACAGATATCAGTCATTTTTCCTTTTTAAGTAGGTGGCAGCTTCCACCCTGCAGCGCCCTTTCTTTGAGGGGGAGACTTATCTCGATGGATATGACTTACTTGAGCTTATAGAAAAAAGGCCCCAGCCCTAAAAGAGACAGAGCACTGGTTCATAAGCCCCAACAAATACAAGACCACTGGGAGAGATGGATGATAGGTGGTGATGAAGATAAACTGATTCTTGATACAAAATCTTGAAATGCACCACAAATCAACAACTTGGATTATTGGATTGTAGAAATGAGTCACATAATTTTAAATAACTTCTTCTGGAATTTAAGTTTTATATTTATATTTAAAACAAAACAGGTATTTATAAAATGCTGTCCGGAAGAGAAGAAAGTAGAATCTGTTCCACTTCGCTGTGTCTGGCCGCTGAAACAATTGAGTGAAATACAGGGAAACGACTGTAATTGTTTTTTTTTTAAACTTCAACTTCAGATACTGGCTGACCTTCCAAGGCAGACTCAGTCATTACTAGGATAACCCTCAGCAACTGCAGGTATGTTTTTAGTCCAAAGGGAGAATTCAGAAGACAAAGAGGTCAAAAAGAATTAAAGATATTTAGACTGTGGTCTTAAAAACTGCTTTGAACTTATGTCAAGACAGTGTGCCTTGTCCATCAGAAAACCACAGAAATATCAATATAAAGTTTAAAACAAAGGAAAACCAATGTGAACACCATCATTAGTGCTGGATCTTCTTATCTCGGGGTAAAATCGCACCTTCCACTTATAATTGTGTCCCACATGCTTAGCTCTCCCTCTACTGGCTGATTCTTGTTTCAATAGTTACCAGAGGTACCTAATAACAAAAGTTAATTTTGCTCATTTTTAAAGCTTCTTGGATTCTTTATGATGTTCCTTGATACTGGCTCTTAGACACCCGAATGCTAGGTCTGTTACAAGTGTGGGGAAGTGATAAGCTGAATTTTCATTGCACTCCCTGGAAATAGTGAAGCAATTGAAAGAGAACATCCACCTAGCCACACCATCACACCCAACTGCCTATCAGCACCTGCACTCACATGTTCTGCCTTCCACTTTGTTAATAGAGTCACCATCCACATGCCCATCGGAAGCTAATTCCTTACCTCGTGTACCAGATTTCATCCCCTCTCTCCAACTGCAGAGCTAGGCAGAGTATTTTCTTTCCCCTCTTCTCTGTCTCTTTTTTTTAAAGATTTTATTTATTCATTTTTAGAGAGAGGGAAAGGGAAGGAGAAAGAGAAGGAGAGAAACATTGATGTGAGTGGGAAACACCGATTGGTTGGCTCTAGGAACATGCCCCAAGTGGGGAAGGGGGGGGCGAGCCTGCAGCCCAGGCATGTACCCTGACCTGCAATAGAACTGGTGACCCTTCACTTTGCAGGGCGATGCCCAAACAACTGAGCCACACTGGTCAGGGCTCCCCTCTTCTCTTAATTCATCAAATTTTCACTCTGCTTTGGATTACTTCCAGAGGCATACACACTTGCTGTTACTTATTCCATTTTAATAAACACACACTCCATTTGGCCCCAGCTTCCCTGCCAGCTACTACCCCAATTCTCTGTGGTTCTTGTAGGCAAAACCTCTCCAAAGAATTGTCTAAACTTGCTGTCTCAAATTCCTCTTCTCTCGATCTATCATAAACCCACTCCAGTCAAGCCTTCACTTCCACCATGCCATGAAACTATTCTTTAAGTCCCCAGTGATTCTGGTCAATCTGCAATCCTCATCCTACTTGACCCACCAACTGCATTTGACCTGGTGGATCCACGCCTCTTCCTTAAGACGGTTTCTTCACTTGGCTTCCAGGTAACCACACTCTTCCAGTTTTCTTCCACCTCCCCAGAGGAGTGCACTTCCATAGCCTCCTCTGCTGTTACTCCTCAATCCGTTAATAATAGATCACCCAAAGCTTAGTCTTTGGTCTCTTCCCTCTCTTTTCCACATTCACCCTGTTTTGTAGCTTTAAAGTTCACCCCTATGCCTCTGACTCCCAACTAGTATCTTCAACCCCTACATTTCCATGCCTTACTGTTCGCTAAGCAACCCAAACACATGTCCAAATCATCCCCCTCATCATCCGTTTAAAACCCCACTGCACTACCGTCTTCTTCATTTCAGCTAACAGCAATGACATAGTCTAGTTCTTTGGCCCAAAAGCTTTGATTTCACACTTGATGTCGATGGCTGTCTTTCTCTCATATCCCACATTTGATCTGTCAGGAAGTCTTGTCGAAATTTTCAAAATATAGTCAGAATCTGAATACGTCTCACCACAGCCACTGCCTACTATATTGATTCAAATCGTAATCATTTCTACCCTCATTCAGTGGTTGCCAATGTTGCCGCTCACTGGAGTCACCCAGGGATCTTTAAAAAATGCTAATGGCTCCCACCATGGATATTTTGACTTATTGGTATGGAATGTGATCTGAGCACTGGGATTTTTCACCCCCCTCCGGGTGGTTCTAAGGTGCATGGAGGTTTGGGTTTCACCTGGTATGATCATAGCCATCAAATGATTCCCCCAGGCTCTGCTCTTCCCCACTCCCCATGGTCTATTCTCAACACAGCAAATAGAAATACTTAAGATTATAAATCATATCATATCTCTGCTTAAAAACTCTCCAGTCGATCCCCATGTCACTTAGAGTAAAAGCCAAAGGCTTTACAATGGCCCATAAGGTCTTATATGAGCTGCACTTTGCCCCACACCACTCCATCACTTCTCTGACCTCCGTTGAATGAATTCAGAAAGTCTGGAGGCTTTGCTAAAAATAAATGATCAAGATATATTCAAGGATCTTAGAGTTTGCAAACTAGAATCACAGCTAGGAAAAAAGCCAGCAATGCCCCCCCCCCCAAAGTTAAAAGCTCTTGTAGCAAAAAGCACTTTATTGAGAATTATTGGTCCTGCAATCTTAGCCTAGGATTGGTCCAGGTCGGTTATCAGTGAGATGTCAGGTAGTCAGGACGGTGGCTGTCCGATGGCCTGGAAGATGGGCATTAAAAGGTCTGGTCATGTCCAGTAGTCCGGATAATGAACGTCAGGTGGCTCTATAAATGAGTCCTTCCGGGGGTTACCTGGAGGTCTGGCTATCAATGACATATGCCTTTTATGTGAGTCCAAGGCAACCAACTGGCGTCAAAGCCTGCACCTTCAAACTGTTCCTCGACTCCTGCCTGATCTCTTCCAGGCTCTGATTTTAGTTTTCATGAAACTAGCACGCTCGTCTTCACGCGATCTCCCACACATGTTCCTGCCCAGTCTCCTTTCCCTTCTTTAGAGACCTACGTGCACACTCACGGCTCCTGGCGCAACCTCCACTTGTAAACTTCGTCCTGTCTCTGTTCTACCAAAACCCTGCTTTTAACGCCCATGCCCCAGGTCCTAAGCTCTGCCCCGCCTCCTCTGGTACGGCGACGCGCCACCGAGGGGCGGGGCGGGCCCGCTCGCGCACCGCCTTCTGAAGGCAGCTTTACGACGTATTGACTTTTGTTTTACGACAAGCGGGGCGCTTTGTGGCTGTCAACTTTCTCCGTGGTCCAACTTGGCGGCCAGGTGGTGGCGGCTGATACGACGGCGGAGAAATGAGGCAGAAACGGAAAGGTGCGTAAAGGGAGGAAGAGGAAAAGGGGGTTGGGGGTGCCAGGGAAGGGGCGCACACTTGGACGGCCCATAGCTGAACTATTTTTTCCCGCGGGAATCCGCTATCTTATCCAGGGTTCCGCCCCCTGGAGTCAGTCTTTTCGTCTGCTCCAGCCTCTGCGTTTTCCTTTTACCTATTGTGTTTTTTAAACCAACCTGCCCTTCTCTCTTTCGTTTTGGCAGTCAGTTGGTGTATTTTCCAGAAGTAGCACAAAAAGCTTTATTGCATGGTGTGACCTCCACGTAGTTAACGTGGTCGGTCGGTTTAACTCGTTCCCGGACTCTTGTTTGTTAAGGTCTTTTTTTGTTGTTGTTGTTTGGTTGGTTTTTTTTAAAAGAACACATTGCACGGGGAGTTCTTTATTTTCCTGTTTTTTTCCCCCAAGCCGTAAGTTTAAAAAAAAAACCTGAATTTTTCTTGAATTCTGTGGTACAGTTCTGTCCATTTGTATTATCTCTGGAGTTAGCCTGGAGCAATTCCGTCTTTAGTTTCTCAACTGGATGGAGTCAGATTTCAAATATTTGCTCACGGGTGTTAGGCTTTGCACACTAATTTGAGCAGTTAGTCTAATAGTAACTACCTTTTGTTGAGGTCTTGCTAATAATTTTGAAGTTAACATCCTCTTCATTTTACCAACAAAGCTGAGATTCAAAGAGTTAAGTGACTTTCCCAGCACAGAATTATTCTTGGGTCATGGAACTGATTGGTCAGGCTGTCCCTGTGAACCAAACAAACAAAAAACCCAATTCAAAATTAAAGAAAAATCTGTTAATTACTATGCCTCTTGATATCAACTGCAGAACTTTGAAGCAACAAGTGTCCCGGTTACTTTCAGTTATCTGTGCCATCCAACCTGACATACCCCGAATTAATTGGTTATCTTCTTCCTCTAACTTGCTCCTCAGGTGGGCCAGACAGCTTTACGCTTTTAACTTCATCTATCACCAAATCCTGTTAGGTCTTAGAAATTGCCTCTTGATACAGTTTATTCTTCATATTCTGGCCACTGTCCTCCTAACCCACCTTAATCAATAACTAATATTTAAATAGTACTTTGGCTTCCGTAGATGTTATTTCAGTTGATTCTTACAATGGTCTTGTGAGATATGTATGTATTCTTCCAGTTTTGCAGGTAAA